CATCTTGACGCACGTTTTGCACGAAAGGCGAGACCACGTTTGGAATCAGCAGCTCTCTCATTCAACTCAAGGAAAACCAGGCGATTAAAGGGGCGCTTCAGTTCAAAACACTGAAATCAGAACTTTCAGTGAGAATCATGAAGTCGCTCGCCAAGTCTCCTTTAGGATTTATCAAAGAGCTTAAAGGTCGAGAGTTCAGTTTTGTTAAGTGTCGCACAATTTCTGTTGTTTGTTAAAAGGAATTAAATCTTTAGAATTGTGGTTCTGTGGAAAGGTTAGGAACAATGAATATTTTAACCATCAGAGCTCTTTGAACGAGTTTGAAGAACTATAATTCTGAGTGGATTGACAAGCTAACAGCTAGTCTAGATCAAAGTGGATTGTTTGTATTTTAAAACAACTTCAATCTCAAATTTTATAGTGATTCTTGCACAGGTTTATTTTTTTTTAACATTTATATTTCCATCAGTTTTACATTACAGGGAAAATATTTGGAAGTGCCTTAGGCTGCACCAGAAATGCAGCAACTAGCTGCTGTCTCTATTTGCATTTGAAGAAGACCATTGAATTCACTGTAAAGAAATATAATACATGAAATTGTTAGTATTATAAAGGTTTCTAAAATATCAGTGGTATAAACAGCCCCAGTCTTTATGAGATTGGAGCTGTTTAAGATGGCACTTTGGTGTTTCCCTGCTCAAACCAGCCGTTAGCTTTTCAATTTGGTCAGATCCTCGATGCAGATCCCGGACGAGCCCCCATTTTGTCACGATTCAGCTCAGGGGTCATGACCCAAAAGGGAAAGAAGTTAAAACATTTAAGACAAAATTATTTCAAAATGAAATAAGTGTTACTAAAATCAGTCATGTTAATGTGAGTGACCATGCATAAATGTCTTAACACAAACGAGGATAATTTGGAGCTACAGTTCCAGGTGTTTTCAATCAATGTGGCTGCTGCACTCAAAGTGATTTGTTCTTACAATGTCTCAAACTAAAACGCAATCAGTAACATTCACAAGACAGCAAGTGTTTTCTCTGCAGCAAAGATGGGTAACATTTTATCTAGATGATTTAGCTGATGTTAGCTAATGCTAGTGTTAGCCACCTGAATTATAATGTATTTTGTTTGTACTTGGTAGTGGGACTCCAAAAGTCTGAAATTCCTGACCAGCCCCAACCTCAAAATGCAACATTGTTACCTTGCCCCTGAAATGTTAGCTAGTATAAGTTTGTAACGCTAATGGCAGCCTGGTCACTGTGCGCAACATTTTGCAAATTCTTCTGGTTTTCTGACGTGCAATTGGAACACAAGTTGAGTAAAATTTAAATGTCTTCTGTCATTCCTGGAGACAATCGCCATAAAGTCATGTCTTACATTTATGAAGCAAAACTACCTTATTTTCACAACCATTTTGTACGCCAGACTGATATGTGTGAATAAATGACCCAACTCCAAACATATATGCATCAATTCTGCGATTCTCTGCCGCAAATATTAAAATTATTGTTGTTTTTTCAGCTGCTCATTTCTTCAAAAGGTCGCCACCGAGACTTACAAAGATCTGGCCATTGTTTATCTCTGGACGCCCTTCCTGATGCAACCTGGGCTCAACCCTGCAGCCTAAAGATTCAAGACCACCACACTGACCACTGAGCTACCGTAGCAAAAATAAAGGTAAATTAAAAAAAAAGTGAATCTGTTGTGAATATATAGCAACATCTCTAAGCTTGAGCTGTTCCTGAAGTGACAGAGAGCATCTTGTTTCTATGGGATGAAACGTATCTAATGTAATAAAGACCGTATTCAGCTGGATGAATGTTGCAAAGTACACTGACTCATGCTGGTACTCACTAAGGACCATATATTACTCACCTCTTATGAGAAAACAATTTCTCCTTTGAGCTATTCATAAAAGAATTATTAGATACAACGCAGGGGTTTCAATGTTCCTGGTAGTCTGTCTGATTGACCCATCGTTAGGCTTTAATTGGGTTTATAACGGTTTATGGTTTGTTTTATCTGTAGCCACGGCAGCTTTTTAAAAAAAGATGAACATAAACACTTGAAGAAGTCTGCATCTTAGCTGGCTCGCTACCAACTCTGACGAGTCTCAACTGGCTGCTTCTTCCACCATCCAGCAGGCCTGGCGAGTCAAAACAACTGACATCATCCCAGAGGGTGAAGGAAGTCTTGTTGCCCGGGGGGATGGGGGGTGGGGGGGTGGACAGGAGCTGTGGGTTGAACTGTCTTCTTTTGTTAAGAGAATCCCGAGTGAGTGAAATGACCTGGAACAGACGACCACAATTCAAGCCGGACAAATTCTTTAAGGACGGGAACGTCAATGCTTCCTTTATGAGAGACAACATTGAACCAAGATAATCTGCACTTTGACTGATTAATAAAATCAATGGTGTAAATGTTTCGTTTTGATTTTTCCTTTTACTTCAAGCTTGGACCCTCTGCCAGAGGTCTGGCAGCTTGAGGGTTCTGCAGAGCATCATAGCTGTTCCTTGGACTGAGCTTCTCTGAGGTCGTTCCTGATCTGCAGGAGCCACTCATCCAGTTAAGGGGGGGTCACGGCACCAAATTCTCTGAGACCTTTACTGTCCACTCTTCCAACTCTTGGTATTTCTCCAGTTTCATGTCCAACTTTGGTCAGTACCCTTAATTTCAGGTCAACTCTTTGACTTCAGTTCCTCAGAACGTGTCAGTGGAGCTTGGTACCCACTCCTGGATGGTGGGAATGATGATGCAGTCCCCCCCATCCACCCAGCTGCAGCATCTTTGTTGTACCTCGTCAATCTCTAGGTGCGATCGCAGACTTCTCTTGCGAATGTTGGAGAACTTGGTTTGAAATTATTCCCAGTGCATCGTTGAATACAACACTGCTGCACCTGAAGTGCTACAGCTAGCTGCTGCTTGCTCTTGCAAACGTAACATAAAATCGACGGCAGTGTAAAGGTTTATAAAAGAGCATGCGATCCGTGATGAAAACCCATCTCAAATTAGTCAATTTTGACTTGTCAATCTGGTCAGAATTAAACTTTTTTTTTAAACGAAAGCTGTTCAAAGAGCTTTTTACCACAGCTAATATATCAACTTTAAGGAAAAGAGCTGAATACTACAATAGATGATTTCTTTGCGTAATTATAAACACAGAACTGTGACAAACAAAAATATTCACACCATGTTTTTGTAAATTGATGCAGGTATGGTAAATGCAGATATGAAGCCATAAAATCTTATCTAGCATGAAAATATCTGAGCTGCGAGGCTTGAGCTGGTGGTTAAACAACAGCAGAAAAACATTTCTGGATTCATTTAGGTCACCGGGGTTCTTATTTACAGGAGGACGACACATTTCTAAAGACAACAGTACCATCATGTGGCCGTGCTCAATCACCACAACCTTCAGATTTAACTTGTGACTGAGATGTTCATTCATTCATTCAACCTTTATTCATACAAGTTATTTCCATTGAGCCTCAGGGAACCATTTACAAGAGAGACCCGATTTTAACAGAGTGATGACAACAGTGGACAACAGAAACAACAGTAGACAATCAAAGGATGCGTACAATTTTTTTTTCTTTAACAAGTGAAAATAAAATAGTAATTAAAAAGTAGCACAAAAAAAAAAAAAAAGCTAGGTTGTAAGGTGGTGTAGAAAACTAAAAACAGGAACATGTCTGCATTGGTTTTTGCCAGGAACTTAACAGATGTTTAGTCACTTAGAGGTCAAGGTCGAGAGCTTCAGATCTTTTTGCAAGATATTCCAGGAAACAGGAGCAGAGTAGGAGAAGGACCTTTTGCTTAGTTCAGTTCTCACTGAGGGAACACTGCAGGTAATAATGTCCTGAGAGCGCACGCTGTAGATGCACTCACGTAGTGACATGTAGGAGGAGATGTATGAAGGCAGCAGACCAAGAAGTGATTTAAAGATGAAAATGTACCAGTGAGAGTCTATGTGAAGTTAATGACCAGTTAACCAGTGAATACAGGGTTCAGTGGTGAGTACGGTAGTTACAGCCAGTTTTGAATCTTAGTGGACCATGATAGACAGCGTCCAACATCTGCAGGGTTCTTGTAGGAACGTTCATAGAAATGTCACCGTAATCAGTGGAGTGAAGGAAAGTTACAGTTACAAGGCGTTTCCTAGCATTCAGTTAGACAGGATCTGTTTCTGAAAAAGAAACCCAGTTTAACTTTCAGTTTCTTTAAGCTTCACGTGGAAAACCTAGTAAAGTCGACCAAGATACCCAAATATTTGTAGGAATCGACAAACTCAATAGAGACATCATTTGAGGATAAAATCAGAGTAAGAACTGCTGGAATGACTTCCTGTTTGAAAAAAAGCATCCCTTTGGTTTTGTCAGCATTTAGGACAAGTTTGAGACGGAACAAATCTGACTGGATCATGTCAAAGGTGGATTGCAAAAGCTGGAAAGCCTTATCAACTGTTTTAGCTCAACAATAAATAACTGTCATCAGCTTAGAAATGTATGGATGCATCAGGGATGCTCTGACCTATGTTACCTATGTAGATTGTAAAGAGGATGGATCCTAAGACTGAGCCTTGTGGTACACCATTGTTGACTGTTAAATAACTGGAGGAAGTACCGTTATGTTGAACACATTGCCTCCGATCTGAGAGATAGAGAACCAACCAATGGTGTGATCTGAGAAACCAATTTCTGAGAGCTTATGACACAAAATGTTCTGATCCACAGTGTCAAAAGTTTTAGACAGGTCTAAGAAAAGTGCAGCGCATGTAAAGAAATTAACACAATTGATCTTTATTGAAACATCTTTGATGCAACAACATGAGCAATTCATACTGAGGAGCAGTAAACGTCCCATTTTCTATCTTTTAATCCAATGCATGAAAAACATCTTCTGAATGAGATTTTATAGCAGCCGGGATTTGAAGTGCATGTGGTGAAAACGGTCCAAATGAAGCTCCGGTGCGCTCGTTCAGGCGGGTCCCAGTTTTGACATCAAAGCTCACCGTGTGGACTAGAGGTCGTCTGTAATTCTTCCGAGTCCTCCGCTGTCTCTAACGTTAAAAAAAGGACAATGAGACCATCAAGTCAAACAGGAAGCATAAGAAGACGATGTATGCTGAAGCAGAGGCCAAAGAGCACTAAAGGTTTTAGAGGGTTCAGAGACCGATGCAGTTCTCTGAGACTTTCTGTAAAGTTTGTTTTTCAAAAATAAACTGTTTCTGCTTAAGTTGAACGTTCTGATAGATGATTGGTTAAATTCCACAAACTGTGCAGAAGTAGTTTGATTGCAACAAATGAACAGAATAAACTATAAGCAGGGAAACGGTCGTGTTAATGCTGACTCAGCATTCACGCAGGAGTTATGCCGTGGCTGGAGCGCTGAGCCTCACCTTGTTCTTGGGTTTGGACGCACTCGCCGTCTCGCTCCTCATAGCCACCGGAGCAGACGCACACGTAGCTTCCCTTACTGTTAACACACTCCTGGTTGTCCTTGGTGCACACGGGCTCTGACTGAGAACATTCATCGATGTCTGAAAGACAAGAACCACAACAGTGCTGAGGCCAAGGCTTCTTTTCTACATCGAAACCACTGATCTGATCTCAAAGGCCAACTCATCTCTCTTGATTCCAGTAATATTATACACTTGGATTATGTTTTTGTAATCACTCCAGGCTAACATAAAAACAAGTCTGTTGTTCTAAACTGCTTGTTTAATTTGCATTCAGACGACCTAGAGATTTATTGTTCCGGATCCTTTTAAACTGGATCATTTCGTAATACATTTGGTATTACATTAGTCCCTCACCTATCACAGGGGGTTACGTTCCAGACAACCCCATGATAGGTGAAAATCTGCAAAGTAGGGACGTTATATTTATTTTCGTATTTACATATATATATTAAAGCTTTATAAACCCTTCCCACACTCTTGCAATGTTCTAAACAATGTTCTAAATGTTCTAAAAGAGCACAGTGAAAGAGAGGAGACAGACTGATGCTACGGTTACTGAGCCAATCCCGGTGTCGTGCCAAAAAGTGATGGTCTGCCAAAAATCGAATGGCAGCGTGCACGAGAGGACTCGCTGTTTCAGTTCTTCAAAATTTAACAAGATTAACACCTAAAAACAATTATTTGTTTGCTCGACAATATAGCAAAGGTGCGTCTCCGTTTACTTTTCTTTAATAAATGCACTTGAATGGTAAAAAAAAAAAAAAACTCCCGCGGCGCCAATCTCTTTTTGGCAGACCATCACTTTTTGGCACGACACTGGGGGCGGACTGGCCATCAGAAGCACCGGGACATTTCCCGGTGGCCTGGCCCGCTCGGTTATCATCGAGGGGCTGGACCAAAGGCTCGGTTTGGGTCGCGCTTGATTATTTTAAATAAACAATCCATGTTGCTCACTCAGGTATCAGCTCCCACAGACTGAACAGTAGAGATGGGGAAAGACAGACCCCACCCCCTCCTTTCTCTTTCTGAGGCTGTCACAGCCTCAGAAAGAGAAAGGAGGGGGTGGGGTCTGTTTTTCCCAATCTCCAGTCATGCATCATGTATAATCCTGCATTGAAAAGCCACGAAAGAGTGAGTCCGCAAAAGTCGAACCACGAAGTATCAAGTGACTACTGTATACCTCTCCGTAATTCAACCTAAATCTTTTCAAATTCAATCTGATTATTTACACTTGAATAGTCTTCATGAGAAGCCTAGCATTCCTTAGCCCCAGAGTTTTAAACTAAGCTCATCTTCTGATGAGAAGGGATGAAGTCAGTCATTTTAGTCAAAGCTAGTAAATGATCAAGATGTGTTGGCGCTTGCAGTTTGTGTTGAGGACGATTTTTGTCTTTGTTAATGTTGAAGTTGTAAGACCTTGCAACAAACGGTGAAGTATTTCCTCCTCACCTGTGCAGGTGCCATCTACATCCTGGTACCCGCTGGCACAAGCCTGGCACTTATCAGAACCAGGTCCAGAGCAGCCAATGCACGCACTGTCGCAGGCTGCGGAGGACAAACACAGGCAAACATTTCTAATAGGATTTAAATTATAACACCAAGGAACATGGTTTTCCTGTCTGAGACTTATTAAACTAAGAAATATGATTTGTTTATAGATATTCCATCCAACAGGACGAACAGTTCCCTTCTACTAGTAATTTTTTAAAAGGTAACTGCATGTAATGTATCCCAAAGCTGAAACGCCACCTGTTCTCACCTTTACAGGAGTAGGAGCCTTCAGAGTTCAGGCAGTGTTGGTCATCTTTGCACACAGGAGGGTCTTTGTTGCACTCGTTCACATCTGCAATTTATAAACCTGTGCTGTGATTCGCATTTGACCAAATACAAAAAATGAAACCTCTTAACTGCAGATTCAGCTTCCTTCAAATTACGATTATTACATGCAGGATTAATAGTTTATTTTTCTAAATTTGACTCAATTATTTACACATTTAAAAGCATTTTGTGCTTGTTCTGCATCTCAATATTAGTCCATCTTTTTCCTTCTTCCTTCAGAAGTAGAAATGAATCCTACAGAGACTAAGGTCATAAATCCATCGTTCATGTGTTCAGGTATAAACTACTTTGATAAGACGACTGTCAGAACTTCACGCAGCTCGTGACGTTGCTGTTACCAACACAAGCTTCTTGGTCATCGTCCTCCCAGCCTTCCTTGCACTCATCGCAGTCCTGACTGGTCGCGCCGCTGCAGGTTTTGCAAGAAGCATGACACTCTGTGGGCGAACATGAACTCAAAATTACTCCACACGTTCTAAAAAAAACCCCTCTAAAGCTTGTAGTTCCTTTAGCTGCAACTGTTAAGTGATGACAACAAGCAAAGCTTTAGTCGCAGTCTCGCTGGATTGAGTGTTTGCGTCCAGCAAGACAAGTAGTGCAACCAGTTTTTGAAAAGCAGGGTCTGTTTTCATGTGCTCTGCCAGTACGAGGCCATACACATCATTTAGTTGCCCATTTTGACTCACGTCCTGCGCTCCTTGTCCCTCAACCTTTACTTTAAAACACTTGTACAGTAATCCCTCTTTTATCCCGGAGGATCCGTACCTGAAGACCTGCGATAAGTGAAAAACCACGAAGTAGGAATAGTAGTACAAGTAGTAGGGTTTTTTTTTGTATTTATGTATAAGGCATATTAAATATTTCCCACACTTTTGCAATATTCTAAACATTGTTCCTAAACTCTAAACGCTCTAAAAGAGCACAGAATGTCATGATTTCCCTCTCAGCCACCTGCAAGCGCTCTAGGCCACGCCCACTTCTCATCTCTGCACCAGAGCAGCTGATCAGCTGCAGCAAGAAGTTTATCTTGCAGTAAGGGCTGCACAAATGTGCAGCAGGCGCTAAATAATTTAAAATAATTTATTTTAAATAAAAAGTTCCATGCCGATCGAGGGGCTCATCCATCAATCAGCCAATTGTGTCACGTCCAATCTTATTTTGAAAAATCGCGACAAAGCGAGTCTGCGATAAACAAACCGTGACGTAGCGAGGGACAGTATACTGTACTATGAATCTGTGACTTGTTGTGTAATTACACTTATATATAGTTTGGTGAGGGTGCAACTGCCGACATGTACTGTTCATTCGGACTCATGAAAATACCACTACTCCGATTATTTCTCCACTAATCTATGAGGCAGGGTAAGAAGCCCCAAAGGGTGTGAAACACTCAGTCCGTGCCGACGTGACCCACTCTAAACTGAGACAGGTTTCAGATCCCTGCATCTTTTTGAAGACATTAATCTAGTGTGTGTTTTTTTAATAACGTTAAAACTCCATGTGACACAGATGAGCCGTCATGTCACTTACGCAAGGAGACTGAAAACACTTGAGCACGTTTCAAGACACACACGCACACGATGCTGTTTGCAGTCGGGAGAAGCACGAGGCGATACTGGCTTAACTAACAAAAGATCTTCAGCCGTGTTTTTACCTGCACACAAACAGAACGTGTCATTCTTCTCTACACCGAAATAACCGTCGATGCAGTCCAAGCAGAACTCCCCTTTATACCCGTGGTTACAGTCGCACTTTCCGTTCCCTCCACGAGTGCCATCGCCATCACAGTCACCATTACCGTGACAAGGCGACTCCGCACCCCCGACACAAGCTTCAAGACAGAAAACAAGTCGGTCAGCAAACTGCTCGATGGAGCAGAGGTTAGGTGGATTCGGGCTCGTATAATCTGCTGAAAACATTAAGGATGTGCTTCTGGGTTGTGCTCCGTTTATTCTCACCATTGCAGTCTGGTCCAAACGTTCCCTTTGGACAGCACACTTTAATGGTTTCTACGCAGAACCATTTATGCAGATCAGGGTATTTTGTTTTCCTGTGACACAACAGGGGAAGCAAACACAAAGAGGTGCAAAAATTAAACAAGTCAAGCAAATTAGTTACAGCAAATTAAAGGTTTAGCGTTCCATGAACTAAAGGGATGACCCTCAGCTACTACCACGTTCAGTTGTAGCTGGATAGCTGTAAAATTGGCTCGCAGGAAGTGAACGCTAACACTCACTTGTGAAACCACCACGTCTCAAAGTGCTCCTCGTGTTCCTCCACCATACGGTTGCATTCAAAGCTGCTGCTCTCGCACAGATCCTCTAAAATCTCCATCAGACGAATCTCACTGTACAGCAAAGAACACGTGAACAAGAATTTATGAAGAACCGCCGACAGCTTGTGCACTGTACGGTTCAATAACGTATTCTTGAATGAAACGCTGATTCTTTGGCGTAAATTCACAAGTTTATTTGTTATCCAAAGCACTGATAATCTTTCCAAGGTGAGGGCAACACCCTGCATATATGGAGCAAAGCAAACAGCGTCTGTGGCAGGTTGACCTGCAGTTTGGACCGGAGCAACAGCCTCACCTCGTCTCATACTTGGACAGTTTCCTCTCCTCCCAGGCTGTGTTGCCTCCTCCGAAGTTCTGCTTTGCTGTTCTTTCAAAGCCCTAAAAATCAAGAAAAACACAAGATACTGTTCAACAAAAGGGAATGGAAAGGAACCATTGCATTTACAGCCTTGTGAGGTGTTGGTGGCATCTAAAATAACTATAAAACACACAATAACAGGATGATTTGTGTCAATAAAATGAAAAAAAAAAATGCACAAGAGATGTTTTGAATTGCCATCTGACCTTTTTGAAATTGTCAGTAATTTGTTGACACGTGCTACAGGCGCTTTTCAGATCCCTCTTTTTGGCGTCGTTGGCTTGAAAAAGTAAAACAAGAACTATAAAAAACAAAAGCCTGAGGAGCCTCAGCTGTGGACATGCGGACAGCATCATCGTAGTCCAAATTCAGTCACACTTTCATGTCAGGAATCGCGATTCACCCCCTCAACACGCGAGTTTTCAGCTAGTTCTAACGAGCCACAAAGGTCGGAAACATCTAAATGAGCCGTTCTTAACATTAAATCAAAGATAGCGCTATCTATGCAAAGCACCGCAAAGTTGTATTTACATGCCGGCGACAGAAAATAAAGGATGCGGTTGTAGTTTTCCGCGTCAGCCTCGGAGTCGGGATTGTGGCTTGTAGCGATTGGTCAGTTGGCCTGTCAATCATTTTGCAGCCAATCACAAGCCGCCACGCGCGGGACATCCAATGGAGTCAAACGTTGATATTTCTAAAATAAATTTCGTTTAAACACATTTTTTCCAAATGATTATAATCGTATAAGAACACTGTTTCAATTGTATTTTGCTTTAAAATAATTTTGTTTCAGCGGTTGTGAAAACTTGTTTTGCTTCCGGCGTTAACCGGAAGTGATAGAAAGCGAGCTTTCAGCTGTCATGGCTGAAAAGAGGAAAGCTGTGAGGCTTCTACTGCTGCTTCTTTTGATTTTTGTCGCTGTTTTGCATTTATTTATTTGTCCGTTTACTAAAGTTGAAGAGAGTTTCAATTTACAGGCGGCACACGACATTTTGTATCACAGACTTGACTTTGACAAGGTAAGCAGTCATTAAATGATGTGCTAACAAGCTAACACAAACGTTCAAACCGCTGTGAGTTCTTGTTTTTATTGTATCGCTCACTGTAATTACGTAGTTCTGATAAAGCTACATGAAATCGAATTAATAAGTTAAGTCATTGGAAAACTTGATGGTTAAACTATCAAAACAAAAGGGTTTTTGATAGTAAAAAAAAGTTTCAGCTCTTTAAAAGTGTTAATAGATCACAGAAGGATGATTTATTATTTCAGGAATATCATTTTTTTTAATATTGATAACAAAAGTTTAATCTAAAAAAAAAATCAGACTATAAATGAGACTATATAACCTTATTGGCCATCATTTTTATTACTTTAATTGTAAACACTTTATGATAGAATTTGCTAAAATAAAATTGCTGTGTTTTGACTATGGCCACACAAAACTTTTTATGGCTAACTCTAAATGTTAATTATATCACAGTTTTAAAACTGAAATTATGTTCGGAAATTGCCAGTTTAATAATTGACTTATTTTTATAAGGATGAATGAAATCTGAACACGTTTTACTTTTAAAATGAAAGTAAATTATTTTAAGTTGTCAAGTGGAATCACAAACTGTAGTGAGCAACAAGTGAAAAGAAAACGTGTATGTCTTTAATTTGTGCCTGTGCTGTTTTTGTGAGCAGAGTTCCTCCTGTCTTGAAAAGTTTGGAAATGACTGGATTTTGCTTTTAATATTTTCTATATCTTAAGAAGTAAAAGAAAATGGAGGATAAACACTTGCATTTCAAAATACTATCCCTTCTTCCATCCATCCATTATCGTTTACCCGCTTCTTCCATTTTGGGTCACAGGGATCGCCGGTGCGTATGTCCAGCAATCACGGTGCGAGAGGCGGGGTACTTTTCGGAGTGCTTTTCATATACACTACATATTCAAATTTTGACATGAATACTGTGAAGTTTTAGATCTGCACTAATTTTGTTATAATTTGATTCCAAAATTGGTTTCTTTGGAAATAAAAGAAGAAATAAATTAGAAGTGACTCCAAATGTTTGCACAGTACTTGAGTTTTATGTTATACATCATGGAAACGGCACAAAACTTAAATATGTACTATGAAAAATGAAAAAGCAAATTATTTGCCATGTGTTGCATACTCTATAGAGCTACAAAATGTCATTAACACTTCAATTGTACTCTGAATCAGAATAGTTTTACCAGTACACCTTGTGTTTAAAAAAACCCCAGTGTGAACCATTAAGATCATAAAGTCATTACTAAAACAGGCACCAATTTTTTTCAGAAGCATCGTTTTCTGCTCTGCGTACAGTCTACTGTACATTTTTACAGTAATTTTGTGTAACTGGGTGTCAAAAATAACCAAAACTTAAAGAAAATTCAGGAAAATTGAGTCTAGAATTTTAATTTTGACCAATTGAAAATGTATGTAAAAAATGTACCAATATATTTACATGTATTTAAAATGTCACATTTTAAGATGGTAACATATTTTTGGATAACTTAAATACTTTGTCAAATCTCCCTCCTGTCTTCCAGTATGACCATCATGAATTCCCCGGTGTTGTTCCTCGGACTTTCCTCGGCCCCTTGTTCCTCTCCACTCTCTGCTCCCCTGTTGTTTTCCTGTCACATCTGCTGGATGCACCTAAATTCTACACTCAGATTACAGGTAGATAAATTTAAAAAAGAGATTATTTGTATTTTTACAGAGAATAAACAGAACCATTCTAAATGTGTGTTCTGTGCAGTCCGAGCGTCGCTGGGAGTGTGCGTCATCGCCGCTCTGTGGCACATGCAGAAGGAGGTGAGGAGGCAGTTTGGCTCCACAGTTGCAGCTCTTTTCTGTCTGACGTGCGCGTCCCAGTTTCACCTGATGTTCTACAGCACGAGGACGCTCCCGAACATCTTTGCTCTCCCTATAGGCAAGACTCCTTGTTGAAAGCCTCAGTTAAAATTGTCTGTCCCTCTTTGAAGACGTGCTGACAGTTAAATTTTGCTCCCAGTTCTCGTAGCGTTCACATCCTGGATGGCTCAGAAATACGCTCGCTTCATCAGCCTCTCGGCTTTGGTCGTCATCGTGTTCCGGTCTGAGCTCTGCATCTTCGTGGGTCTCATGTTACTGAGGTCACTGCTGAGCAGGAAGCTGGGGCTGCTGACGCTGATTTACTGCGCTGCTCCGGCTGGGATCCTGTCCTTGGGTGAGTGGTTAATTCACACGTTATATTCTAAGTAATATGTGTATAACAGTGACTCTTATTTTCTTTGCGCTCTGCAGCTCTGACGGTGTCTGTCGACTCCTTCTTTTGGCGGAAATTTTTGTGGCCTGAGGGCCAGGTGCTGTGGTACAACACTTTTCTCAACAAAAGCTCCAACTGGGGAGTATCCTTTTAAAAGTCATTCATTTTATGTTTATCTAAAACCAAATTAGATGCTGAAAACTGACTTAGCTTTTAGTTTAAGTTTTTCTTAACTTCTTTCTTAGACTTCGCCCTTTTTATGGTACTTTTACTCCGCAGTACCTCGAGCCCTGGGCTGCACGCTGCTCTTTGTGCCGCTCGGCCTCCTTGACAGGCGGATCAGGCCTCTGCTGCTCCCCACAGTGGGCTTCATTCTCATCTATTCACTGCTGCCTCACAAGGAGCTGCGCTTCATCATTTACACCATCCCCGTGCTCAATTTGGCTGCTGCACGCGGCTGCTCATTCATGTGAGCCGAATCACAAAACCTCTTTTTTTTTAATCATCAAGAATCCTATTATGGAGTTTAGAGCAGGAAATACGCTCTAAGAACACTCCAAATATATATATTTAATGTAACGTTTCTTTTTTAATAATCACGTTTTTTTCTATTTGATTTAGTTTGTGCAACTATGAGAAGTCGTGGATGTACAAACTGGGCTCTGCAGCTGTGGTTGGCCAGCTGTTGATCAACACAACGTACTCTCTTGGTTGTCTCCATGTTTCCTACTACAACTACCCTGGAGCTCGAGGACTGGAGAAACTGCACGAGCTTCTGCCAGCTGCAGCAGGTTGGAGTCAGATCCTTTTGATTTGACTTGAACTCACAGATTCAGGACACAGAGATTAGTGAAGTTTGTACTAATCTTAAATTCAGATATACTAGGGATGCTCAATATTGGATTTTTGGCTCATATCCAATACTGATTTATTTTTTTACCTAGACCTACTTAGCTTTCTTTGCTGTGAAATTAAAATACATTATTCTGCATGGTCTTTGTCAATCTGGCCTGCTTCCAAATGCAGATGCCAAAAGGGGGGCTGACAATGATGTAACACGTCAACTTGGATTACAGTAGTCCCTCGTTTATCGCGGGGGATCCGTACCCTGAAGCCCCGCGATAAGTGAAAAACCGTGAAATAGGAATAGTAGTGCAAATAGTAGTTTATTTTAGTGTGTGTGTATATATATATGGTGTTTTAAACTCTTCCCACGCTCTTGCAATATTCTAAACAATGTTTCTAAACGCTCTAAAAGAGCACAGATCATTTTAGCTTCCTACCTCCTCTGCTGTTTGCCACCTGCAAGCGCTCTTGGCCACGCCCACTTCTACACTCTGCACGGAAAACAGCTGATCAGCTGCAGCAGAAAGTTTATTCTGCAGTATGGGCTGCACAAAGGTGCAGCAGGTTCTAAATAACAATCAGCCAATTGTGTGTCATGTCCAATCTTGTTGTGAAAAACCGCAATAGAGCGAGTCCGCGATAAACGAACTGGAGTAGTTTCATGTCAAATTTATTCATGACATTTAACGCAGTGATAACTGTCGAACAGTGCAAATTTTCACTAAACTCAACAGCGTGCGTGACATCATAAAGTTGTGCTGGTGCTGCAGGCGTCCTTGTCACTGTGTTGTCATACTAAAACAGTGCCTTTTTATATCGGAGTTATTTTTGATGGAATGGCCGATATTTAACTTTGTCACTAATATCGGCCAATACTGATATTATGCATCCCTAAAATATACTGTATCTGCTTAGGGTAGGGGTCTGCCATGCATTATTGCTGATTTAATAGTACAGAACTAAAGCAATGTACGTCTTGACCTTTAAAAACATACGGAATAAATTGTATGTTTTACTAAAAAAATTAGTTTGTCACATTGTATTGTATGCGTATAAAAAGTACTTTATATTTCTACCGGTACTTAAGAAAATAACTGTTCAGATTGATTGAATCTACCGGTACAGATAAAACATTTTGGGTGCCTGGTTATGTCAGAGGCACTCCTTTTTAGTTTTATAATAAGCTGTATGCATTTATGACAGATTTTATTGCTAAAAAAAAAGACAAAACTCATTGAGCAGAATCCTGTTTTTTACTTTCTTGCAAATAAACTAAACTGCTCAAGTTTACTTCTGTTGTAATACGATGTAAACATTGGTCATTCTTTGATTACCGGTAGTTACAAGAAGCCAGTTTGCAGCAGCCCCTAATTTAGAGGAAAAGCGATCTGGGAATTAATAACAATAATTAAAAAATGTCTTTTTCCCCTCAGATGTCTCCGTTCACATCGACACGTACGTTGCTGAAACGGGCGCGTCACGCTTCATGGAGCTCAACAAAAACTGGAGGTTAGTGTTTACACAAGTTGTTTTGGAGCTTTGTGCAAAATGTGCCCCCCTAACATTTAAAATGTATTTATTTTCACAGATATGACAAACGGGAAGGTTTAAGCATCACGAGCCCCGAGATCAGAATGTACTCGCACTTATTGATGGAGGCCAACATCACCAGGATCCTGCAGCTCCAGGACACTCATCGGCCCCTGATTTTCATTGAGGGCTACAAAAACACGGCCTTCAACGTGGCTCACTTCCCTCCCGTCAGCATAAAGTTAGAGAATAAAACTGTCCTGATGGAGAGAACACACCGGCTGGAAGAAGAGAAACACTAACGGGAGTTTTCTGGATTAAAAGGTTGATTTCTCAGGTGACCAAATGTGATTTAAAACACGTTTTATAGATTAAAAAAGGATTTTCTTCAAGTTTCACATTGCAGTACAGATCTAAAATGTTACCCCAACAAATGAGTGCATTGTTTACATCAGAATATGATTGGTGTATTTTGCAGATTCAATAAATCAATAGAAACTGGAGCAAAAGCAAATGGAGCCTTGCACTTAAAAACTCAGCTATACACAACTCCCATCTTTTGTATTACAATATTGTAAATTGAAAACCTTTATTTACAAATAACCACAAAAATGAGAATTTGTCCAGTTTCAATGCTAGAACATTTATCAAATTAAGCTCATAAATCAATTTCATAGAAAAATGTACAGTACACTGTATTAATCAATAAACCCATAATTTAAACCCCCAACATAAAATTGTGCTTAAGACAAACTAAATACAAAAAAATCCCCTTTATTCTGAAAATACAGCAATATTATAAATGATCATCTTGAAAAACATATCAGCAAGTAAAAAAAAAAAAAAAAGTTTTAAAAGCTGTACCATCAGCCTCAAATTCACACACAAAATAATTAAATAGCATTAACTTAAAACATTGTTCAGTCACAGCATTTAATTTTGCACAATTCATTCAGAAAACAAAACAAAAAAAAAAAACACAGAAAGAATCCTGACATTCTGCACAATTTCAATGATATTTACAGCATTTTTGACCTGAAGTAGTTTTAGATAAGGCACAAGGGGAGAGAAGACGGAACGATCAAGAAAAAACATTTACAACCACGGTATCACCAACCCCTACAGCTAGACGAACCCTCCCTCCCTTCTTACCCAGACTGTTCTTCACAACAGAACCAAAGTGTTCAACAGTAGTACAGCAAACAATAAAATATTCAATCTGGCCTTTGCATGTAGAATCAGTGTTTAAATGATATTTTACAAACGCCTCCCGTTTCACAGCTATGCAACTTGGTCCTGATGCTTAATGCTCAGACTCAGTACTGAAAACAAATCAAAGGGAGGTTGACCTTCAGGAACAGCAGACCCTCCATGTTGTCCAGCGTTGGCCTGGCCTGACTCAGAGCGCAGCTGACACTGGGGGTGCTGAACAGCGTTTCTGCTGAGACGATGCTGGGGGGGCAGCCCACATAACGGGCAGCTACTTTGGCAAGATCAGGCCACAGGAACTTCTTCAGGTTCCAATAGTCCATGGGGTCACAGGTTTGATCCAGAATATCTTCCTCCAGATACTCCAGCACGTCCAGCTCCGAGGACCTCTCCTCCGTCTTTATCTTTTGCCTGATGTCAATCATTGACCAGAGGTTCTTGTTTAAATGAGAAGTGCTGGATGAAACTGGGTCCTCACTGTAGCCGTTGGGCAAGAAAGAGTTAACTGAGGTAGAGGAGGACAAGTCCAGCTCCTGGATCAGATCTAGCTTACAGCGCTCGGCTTCTTCCTCTGTGAACATGGACGTCTTGTACCTCGGGTCCAGCATGGTTGCCCAGGTGTACTGTGAGTCACGCAGAATTGCAGACAGCCTGGTCACCATTGCTTCCTTTAAAGACCTGAGCATGTTGTCTATTCCCACGGTCTCATCAAACAGAAGGTCTATTTTTCTGTTGAGAATGTGAACGAGTGGTATCACCTGTCCCAGAGTGGCAGTACGAGTGCTCATTTCCCTGCAGGCCACTTCAAAAGGTTTCAGTGCATTGCAGACCGACAGTAAGACCTCCCACTGGTCGCTGCTGATTATTTCCCTGAAATCGCACTCTACTGACATCTCGTCGATGGCAGTCTTCTGCTCCACCAGCCGCTCCAGCATGACGAAGGAGGTCCTCCATTTGGACGGCACATCCTGAACCAGCTGGTTCTCTGGGAGCTGGTGAGCCCTCTGGAGCTCAATCAGCCTCTCCTTTGCCTGTGCCGAGCGGTGCACGCGCTCGCAGAGCTTCCGTGCAATGCTCAAAACGTTCTGAACCATCCTCTGGCTTTTTATGGCTTCACTTACAATGAGATCGATCGTGTGTCCGAAACACTGCAGGGTGGCGTGGCCATGTGCATCCAACATATGCCTGATGGTGCTGTTATTTGTTACAGTGAAGCCTTTCTTCAGCCCCGCTGACGTGATCCAAGACTCCCACAGATATTCCAGCTGCTTTGGGATGTCGTGCATATCACTTTCTATTTGTGAGACACTTAAGAGAGCAGAACAGTGACAGTCTTGACCTTGAGGTTTGACAACTGATTCGTATGCCGCCCAGTGGGCAGTAAGGGTCAGGTATTCCCTTGTCTGACTACTGACCCAAACGCTTGATGTAAAGTGGACAACACCTGCTTCAGCCTCTTTTAAGTGGGTCAGCAAAACACTCTTCACTTTTTCATACATATCTGGTATGGCAGTGCTGGTAAAGTAAGACGAAGATGGTAGAGAGTACTGAGGCTGGAGCAACTCCAGCAGTCTGGTGAGTCCAGCGTTCTCTACCACAGTTGATGGCTGGAGATCCAGTGCGAGCATTTCTGCAATGAGCTTGGTGATCTTTTTGGAAACCGGATGATCGTCATCAAACCTCTCACAGTTTTGCTCTGCTTGATAAACGGTTGTGTCCATGACTTCTTGTTTGACACGGATTTCAGCAGACGGCACAATACCTGAGATAGTATTTTTACTTTCAAGAAAATGTCCATGAAACCTCTGCATGTGCCTATAGAGGCAGCTCGTGCCGAGGTTTGTAGTCTTTTTGCCTCTGCTAATTGTACGGCTACAGTGCAAACATACCACCTTTGTAGGGTCAGTGGGTGAAATGGAGAAATGGTTCCACAGTTTTGACGTCTTTTTACTGAAAACAGGCTTTTTCTCAATGGTGGGACTGTCAGTTTCTTTGGCTGAAACTGTGTTTGTTGTGGGGAGGTTGATGTAGGGATGAGGGAACGACTTGTCTGTGCTTTTTTGGTTCTTCAGGACGTCTGGATGACGTCTCATAAGATGCCTCATTAGGCAGCTTGTACCGAAGTCGCCCCGTTTCCCTCGACTGATGACGCATGGACAGTAACGGCACAGTGCTTTAAACTGGTCGACTGGTGAGACTGTGAAATGGTGCCACACTTCAGATTTCACCCGTTTCATTATCCTTTTGTTTTGCTGGAAAACTGCGTGATCCTGTTTGAAGCTGGGACCCTCGGAGAGATCACATGGTGAGGAAGTGAGTGGCGTATCACCCCCTCGCATTTGAAAGGAAAGGTTGAAAGAGGACTTGTGCACTGAGAGGTGCATCGCCTCTTCACATTCTTTCTTAATGTCCATACTTTCCTCCATGCTTTGCGGCAGATCATCAGATACTGTTTCTGGTGAGGACAGAAGACGGGGCGACTCTTTTTTGATATCTAGTGAACCATGTAGACGTGAACGGGACAAAAGTGAGGGTGGGTTTGTATAGGGTAGGGGAATGTGATTTCCCTGTCCATTTTCCTCAATTACAACCTCCTTGTGTGCCCTCCACATGTGACGGATAAGACAGCTTGTCCCGAGATCCTTTCCATTTTTACCCCTGCTGAATTCATTCATGCAATGAATACATACTGCTTTGGAATTATCAACAGGTGACAAGTAAAAGTGCTTCCACACAGCAGACCTGCGGCGGGAGCTAGAGACTTTAGGGGTCTCCGGAGGGTGCTCGGGCACTCCGTCTGACATGTCTTCGATGTTATTTTCACTGGAATGTAAATCTGAGAGGGTGCCACAAACAGAGTCCACGCTGGCGTACGGGTCTAGATTTGGTTCAACTTTGGGTAGCACTTCTTTGGGCGATGTGTCCGAATTTTCAGCTGAGGATGTGGACGGTGAAGTGTTCTTTGAAGCGAAGGCGAGAATGCTGCTGAAGTCGCCGTTTTTTGGTGAGCTGGGGGAGGAAGGTATCAAAGACGAAGCGAAAAAGCTGGGCAGGTTATGAAAGGATGCATCTCCATCTTGTAGAAGCACAGTGGGGTGAGCCCTTCGTACGTGCCTCATCAAACAGCTCGTACTAAGGTCTTTCTCGTTCTTGCCTCGACTGAACTCCTTCATACAGTATAAACAGATTGCTTTGGTGTTGTCTCGGGGAGATATGCAAAAATGATTCCAAGCGGGAGATTTCTTCCTCGGGTTGGCCTGACTCCTCATAGATGACAGAAGACTCTGAGTGACAGCGTCCATGGCAACATCATAAAGAGTACTTGTATAGCCCCCAAATAAACTACTATAATCGTCAACATCTCTAGGTAAAAAGGGGCCAATTGAGCTACCAAATGCTAATCTGTCATCATATTGCGCATCCTCTTCCATTTCATTTGCATCATCAAGGTCATCTCTGATATGTTCACTTGATCCGCTGCCATTTTCAAACCTTTCACTCTCCGTGTGTTCCTCAGCGTCAGTGTCAGGAGAAGCGGAATCAGTGCGACGCGTTTCCAGCCGTTTGTCTACCTGAGAAGATAAATGGAAACAGGAGGGGAGAGGGTCTTTATCCAGTGTTGAGGAGCATGCCGGCGACATGGCGTCTGAGGCGTCATGAGGGTTAATGCTGTAAGATTTGAACACATATCCTTCCTGCCCCTCAATTCTCAAGCAGCTTCCTTTCGCCTCTTTTTTTTTGCTTTCTGTGGAGTCACTAGAGTCGCTAAATCCTAAATCCTCACTCATGTCAGGAACATCTTCCTCCCCATCCATAGCAGCAGTGTCAGCGAAATAGGCTTCCATAGTTAGTCGTTTTCACTTTGTTAGCGCTCAAGCAGGTGATGTGACGTCTGTGTTGGTGTCTGTGCCACAGAGCGCCTGCGTGTCCCTCTCCATTTATTACTGAAAATAGTTGCACTCCTCGGCACGCAACCTACAGAGACAAGAAAATAGATTAGATCTTTGTGTGAACGTAAAAAAAAATAAAAATCGTACATACAGGTGTAGAGACAAGTCAGGCCTCGTACGTTTTACTTTTTTATTTTCTAAAACCTACTGGACATTAGGGATGTGCGATATGTCATAAAATTCATATCACGATATGTATTGTGAAGGGTGGCGATAACGATATACATCACAATATGTTTGTGGTATAAAACTTACAAAAAAAAAAGCATGGGGTGTCCTTTTGCCATCATATTTTGAATTACGAAAATTCCACTACTAGGTCCAGAGAGTTTTTAAATAATAAACAAAGTATTAGGCTTCTTTCTTGTAGTGCAAAAGATATCAAATGTAGTTTTAGCCATATGTTTTAAACTAAAAAATATGCTGTTAACTCTTAACAGTTTCCAGTCTCACTTAATAAATGAACAGCAACAGAGCAGCATTTTACACTGAAACACTTCACCCTCCAAACCTCTAGTGGGCGACTCCTTCTGCTTCAATGGAGAGTCGACACAAAATGAGTCTGTGGCTTTGACCAGAGGGTCTCGCAGTAAAATCACACAACACAGCGTTCTTTTCACAGATCAGAGAGCAGGTTTCTCTAAAGATGACCAACACTTACTTTCTACAGAACATACGGCAACACAACGGCAAGCCGGCTGTAGCTAGCTTGTAGCTTCGCTACTTAGCTCTCGAAGAAAATACTTTAACGCCACTTGCGCAAAGTTTTCAACTCAAAAAAAGTAACGATTAAACTGACAGCTCTGTTTTTACATCAGACACAGCATTACTGCGGTTAGCCGGTAGAAGACAGATCTCTATCGTAGACTAAATTTCTATCGTTTCTACCGTGTATATCGCGCATTCCTACTGGACATTGTTCAAAACCGCAGCATCACATACCGTGTTTTTTGCTGTGCAAGTCACACCTTTTGCATAAATTAGCAAGTCCTGCGACTTGTACACCGAAGCGACTAATATACGTTTTTTTTCCCATATTTATAACCAGTTTTTGGCTGAGATCTGACTATTTAATTCATTCCGACATGGAAAATATTGAACAACATTTTCAGCCGCTAGAGGGCACTAGACTAGTATGGCAAGCCAAGTGTCTCAAAAATGGGTAAAAGTGGCTATTAATGAGACACTTGGCTTGCCATACAAAGTCACCTTCGTCTCGCTCCAGAACTCCTGGAGCAAACGTCAGATCAGCTTCATTTCGCCACCCAGGTGAAATGCAGCTGATCTGATCATCAAAGTACATTTATTAAGGAAAAGTTAAACTGAGACACCTTTACTATAATTTCGAGCAAACTAATAATTGTTTTTAAGTGTTAATCTTGTTAAAAATTCTTGTTAAAGTCCTCCCGTGCACGCTGGCAGCCAATCGATTTTTGGCACAACACCGGGTGGTCAGCGGTGACTCATAACAAAACGTTAGCGGTGACGCATAATAGATGCGACGTATACGGCAAAGCGACTTATTTGTTGTCGTTTTTTTCCACTTTATTAGACATTTTTGAACTGATGCGACTTATACGGCGATGCGACGTGTACGGCGGCAAGTACGGTAATTACCAAAGTAAGACACGACACATGCTGCCAGATCTACTTTTACTTAATTTTGCAGCAGTGTGGACTAATTCATTTAAATTTATTAACCTTCATTTAACCAGGCAAATCCTAATGAGATCACTAGCAAAGGAGGCCTGAAGGCAGCCTAACGTGCATGTTTTTGGACTGTGGGAGGAAACCGGAGCGCACGGGGAAAACCCACGCAAATACAATGCAAACTCCACACAGAAACAACCCAGGTCTAATCAGGGATTGAACCCAGGACCTTCTTGCTGTGAGGCAACAGAGTTAACCACTAAGCAGTAGTGCTGCCACAAAAATTCAATACACCTTTACTGTTTAAAAAAAAATGCAACTTGAATCTCTAGCGGGACAGGAACTGCCTTACAACGTTGTTTTAGTTACAGGTACTGGTTTAACCAGGTCTACTGGTACTCTGGAAGGTTCCCTCATGATCTTTTGTTAGAACTGGGCCCACAAACGGTGTCATGTCTCTTATATGCAGGTGGCTAACGTATTTTTCCGTAGAACTACTGCTCAAGTTGTGACATCTAGAGTTCCCACACATTCAGTGGTCTGTTTAGAGGAATAACCATGAAGTTACAGTTACAACTATTATAAACAAGAAACGGATTTGCAGCTTCATTATAAAGTTAATGTTAAAAAAGCAATACTGTTTTATAATTGTGCCATTTTTGTTAGTGTATGACTTGACGTCACATTGCCCTACTAACCTTAAAACCACGTCATAATTAAATGTGTAGCGTTCCTTGAAAGGATGCATAACCCACATACCAGAATGTTAAAGATCATCTTATGTGACAGGGCAGGAGGCGTCGGCACTTTGGTCAAACTTGTAAATAATAACATGCAAAGTCCCGTGTGATATATTGCAATATCTATTAGCACTTAAAAGTATATGTTAAGCTACTATCACATCAAATGTTAGCTCATGAGCCACCATTTTTGTGCTAAAGTCCATTAGCTGTGGCTGCTACCTTGAACCGGCTCGACTTAAATCCACTTTCAATTCATCCAGTGATTCGTGGAATATTTTGCTAACAGACAAACCAGGCTGGTTTTAATAGCGAACTGATTTGAGCATGGACGTCAAGCAACCACTACACCAGATTTTACCCTGTAAAATTGACAGACATTTCTAGGTTTTCTAAAAAAAAAAAAATCATTGATCTAATTTCTGCAAATTTCTTTAAAATCGATTTAATAGTTTGCGACAAACCAAACAGAATTTAAGCAAAAACAGTATTGGCCCTTTCGCCTTTAAAATAAGATTTCAACGGCAAACAAATGGTTTCACGGCGTTACTCATTTTAATTCTAGAAGTCATTAATTTCAGCTTTTTTTAATTGACAATTGCACATTGTTATTTTAGGCACACAGAGCTTGTGTTATGATACAAGCCAGTCATTCTTATTCTAGTAGCATATATTTAAAGTGCAAACAGCAGGAGAGCAGGTTAGTTTTCCGGGTTTCGTCAGGAAGATGCTAGAGAACAGCAGAACACACTGACAGCCTGTATCCTTTTAAAACTGTTTAACAACAACGCACAGAGTTTCACTTTACCCGAATGACAGAAAAGCTGTCATGTTTACGACGTATTCTGGAACGTCTCACGCAAAAAATAACTTAACATACCGCATGCGGTTGAGGCTAAACGAGCAGTAAACACGACGCTGGCTATTCTGCGGCTAGCTGTTAGCCACCGAGCTAACAACACAAAAACAAACACAGGTAAAACTCTGGTGTCACGTGAGCTGTAGCACGAATCCTCACAGCGATGGCACCTTCTGCTGTTAATGTTATTACGGACTGACCCGTGCCCGTTCGGTACATAAGCGTCGGACCGTCCGCACCACGAACGCTAGCTGGCTAGCTGCTAGCTAGGCCACATACAGGACACAAGCTAACCTGGCGAGGCAGCAGAACCCGGCCCAGGCAGCAACACGAACCACACGGGATCAGAACCGGACGAGCGGCACTCGCCACGACGTCCTGCCCGCACGGGGCTTCTCTGACGCCCACGCGAGCTCGGTGTACTTACTGTGAAGCGGGGACGGTGGGATCACGGGGTTTCGGCTCCTAAACGGTTAAATGTGACACGTTTGATTGATCCGGCGGGGGGTTCACTTTGTTGCTTTTGTCTCCTGGTTCGCTCGCAGTTCGGCCGGAGAAGCAGCTCCACACAGCGTCGGACGGAAGGAACTCGTCTAGTGATGTCACCAGACCCGGACTCCTCGCGGATCCGGGGCTAAAGGTTCGAAAAACTCATTACAGAATAATGGCTTGCTTGTTTTAAGTTGCAGGTTTATAAGTGTGCAGACACTGACCCGTGTGAACCAGGAATGAATGAGTTTGTTTTGGTTAAGGGGGGTGTGGTGGTGCAGAGGTTGGGAGAAGGAGCCTGCTATTGGAAGGTTGCCAGCTCGAGCCCCAGACTGACCACATCAAACGTGTGGGAAAGGTGAGCACCCGCACCTGCTTCCACCCTCATTCACCCCACGCTGGGCCCTTGAGCAAGGCTCCTACCTTCCGCCATGATGGCAGCCCCCTGCTCCACACAGACGGCTGTGGTAGCTCGGCGGTCTAGCTGTGTCGCAAAATAAAAACAAATGCCAAGTTTTAGTTCGAGTTGGTTCACTGTGGCGACCCCTTCGGAAGGGAGCAGCCGAAATTCGACGAAAGAGTTTATTTTGGTTCTTTACATATTCAAATCATAAATATGTTGAGGATGACTCTCAGCTACTACCACAACAAGTTTTACCTCATTGTCTGCAAAGACGGCCGAGTTATAGCCATTTTGTGATGGTTAAATGATGTCGTCACTGTTTGTAAATGTGCATTCAATTTTAAAGTTTTATTAAAATCCTACTAGTTCATGGAATATTTTGCTAACAGACAAAGTTGACTCCAATAGTAATTCCACATGTGTGTGCCATGCATGTACATGTTAGGGACAATGCCAAGCCAAATTCTAGCTCGGTATCTGTAAAACTGACTGGAGTCATTTTGTGTTTGCTGTCTGTTGTGGCGGCCATCTTGAATTGCACTGGATCTACAAATGAATCGGTAAATGTCCATCCAGTGATTACTTCCTAAGAGTTTTGTTCAGTTCAGTGCAAATGTTGGTAACTGTTCGGAAAAGGCAAAAAGCAAACAATAATGTTTTTGCCTGTGTCTGTCTGTTAGCAAAACATCTCATGAACCACTTGCTGAATTTTAATGCAGCTTGCAGAAAATAATCATCGGATGTACGTCTACAAGTACCGTATGTTTTGCTGTATAAGACATCTTTTTGTATAAATTTGCAAATCCTGCAAATTTATGCAAAAACCAAGTTTTGGATGAGATCTGACGATTTCATTCAATCTGACATGGAAAATATTGAACACTACCATTTCCAGCCGCTAGAGGGCCCTTGAGTAATATGGCAATCCAAGTGCCTCATTAATAGTTACAAGTGGCTATTAATGAGACGCTTGGCTTGCCATACCAAGCCACCTTCGTCTCGCTCCAGAACTCCTGGAGCAAACGTCAAATCAGCTGCATTTCGCTGCCCAGGTGAAATGCAGCTGATTTGACCTAGGCCTGTCACGATAAACAATTTTGCTGGGCGATTAATTGTCTCAGAAATTATTGCGATAAACGATAATATTGTTTGAAATTTGACAATAATTAGTAATTGTCAATTTTAAGAAGAATTGCTGGTTAATTTTTGTGTGTAGTACCTTTCTTTTGACCACCAGATGGCAGCATAAGACTGTTTGAACCAAAGGATGGATAGTGAGGGAGCGAGCAGCGTCTCTTGACGTGACATGGGCTGTCTCTCGTTCCTTTTCTTCGGTTCTCAAAATGGCGGACGCTCAGTGTGGTTTGAGCTCTTTAACATAACATTTGTCACACAAAGCTTTTAATAAAAAAAATCATTAAACAAGTTCTCAGCTTCTTTTTACAGAGAAAAGCAACTTTTTACATGAAGGCACAGGTTTCAACCGTGAATTTTGGAGCTTTGACAAGACGGAGGTTTTTCCCGAGGTCGGCTTGTTAGCTTAGCTCGTAGCTTAGCTTGTCAGCTTAGCTGCTTTTAACGATCCAAAAATGTGATTTTGGATAGTTAAAAGAGAAAAGAGAAAGGGAGGGGTCAGTGTCTTCAGTAGAAAGAGACACGAAGAAACGATAAAGCCGATAAATGAAAATGAGGTCGATAATTTTCATTTATCATGCGATTAATTGATTTATCGTTTATCGCGACAGGCCTAATTTGACCATTAAAGTATATTTATTACGGAAAAGTTCAACTGAGACACACCTTTGCTATAATTTCGAGCAAACAAATAATTGTTAATCTTGTTAAATTCTTGTTAGTCTTTCCGTGCACGCTCCCGCCATTTGACAGCCAATCAATTTTTGGCACAACACTGGCCCACATTTCCAGGTGGTCAGCGGTGACGCATAATAGATGCAACTTATGCGGCGAAGTGATGTATTTGTGTTTTTTTTCCACTTTATTAGAGATATTTGGACTGATGCGACTTATAGGGCAGCGCAGTATACGGCGGAAAGTACAGTACTTAACCAGCCAACGCCTTTCAAGATGGCTGCCACAGCTAACTTACTTTAGAAGACGCATCATCTGCCACTTTGACATATATTGATCAATAATTTGTTATGGTAGTAGCTGAGAGTCATTCCCAGCACATATGTTGAGCTCTAATAGATCCATGAATGCAACAGTTAGTAGAGACTTTGGCGCTTTAATTTTCTTGGGTTTAAACCGTTTGTGATCCAGATCAGCTGTGAAAGGTCCCGCACAGACCCCAGGCTTTGTTTGGATCTCTGCCCGCCCCGCACGGACCGACAAACGGCGACGACTGCGTGACAGATGGACTCTTTTGTGTGAAACCCACGACTCCAAAACATGACCTCCGGCGTCACGCGCACGGGTGGGAGTTGTCTGCGGGTTAAAACGCATTGTTGTGGGCGGATAGTTCGTCTGCGCTCCTGCTGCCGCCTGTGGTCGACGACTGTAGCCTTTGAATGGCCCACAAAGCAAATAACGACGCGTATTCTGCAGAATTCACCGCCGGAACCTCTCGGGCGCCGAGCAGGCCTCTCTCTGTGTCGGTACTAGCAGAACCGAGCCGAGTCTCGCCCTTTGGATGATACTATTGTGCGCGGAATCCGAGCCCGTTCTGCAGGCCGTTGCTTTGTAAGGTAACCTGTTCATGCACACGCTGTTTGTGCTTTGGCTTTGTTTGTTTGTTTGTTTGTTTACCTTTCTGTAGCCTTGACGTCATGCAGCCATGAAGGATATATGTCTACGAAACGTCGCTTTTCTGTTTGACACCGTGCGCTCCTCTTGTTAGCTAGCTAGCTAGCTAACGGTATTGTTAGCATTTTTTCCACTTGGTATGCGAGTGAAACGCTTCTTTCGATCAAACTGGTAAGTGTTGCCTTCTCCCCGCGTTCATTTTCTCACAACTGTATCTGGCCGTCTCCCAAACGTCTCATGTTGTTGATGCTTTTCTCCGTTTACAAGTTCCAACACAACAAGCTAACTTCGTTACTTTGAGTTTGCAACATTGCTGCTTTCTTTTGCTTTTAATCTTCAGGACGCCCAAAGTCATCTAAAAAACAACATAAATTTTTTATATATATATCGCTTTTAATCCGTTTTGGTTCATAAAAAAGATACCCGAGTTAGCATAGCTCTTTTGTCGGTGTGTAACGGTATCCTAGCAACCGGAGGTAATTGATGTTATTAGTTGGAAATGTATAATTAGCTGCTTTACTTGCTAAATGCTAGTTAGGCTGCTATTGTTGCTGTTATAGGTCTCCCTTAAAGCAAAAAACAAATTGATTTATCTGAATACGCAATGTATAGTTGCTGTTTTTTTTTTTGCTTTCAAACCTTAATTTCAGATTTCAGGTCTGCGCACAATAGTATAATTTCAGGTCTCTTGTATTGAGTCCCCGAGGCTCAATGGGATTAACCTGTAAAAATAAAGGTTGAATGAATGAACATTTCAGCTAAAGTTGAGCGACACAACCTGGAAATGTCAGATTGTGATCGAAACATTTAATTATGATTATAGGTTGCAGCATTTATTACTGCAAACAAACAAGTTGTGTTTTGCCTTTCAAACTGAATTTATTCCCGTAAGAGCCTAAAATAAATACTACCCCCCCCCCCCCCCCTAAACAACAAAAAACCATTAAACTCTATGCAAACATTTAATCACACCTTCTTCCGAAAGCTTTGGAGACTCATAAAAATGCAATTTCATAATTACTAAACTACTTGCAACTCTCCAGGATTCTCCACAATGTAATAAAACTAATGTTAAATTTAAAGTATTAAAAAATGAACTAAGAGAAGCACTACAAAATATGTTGACTAAACAGCGGAACAGCATCAGTCATTTTTTTTTAACCTCCTGGTTTTCCTGTCATTTAAAGTGCACTTAGAGATTGGCTCGCCATTATTGTTTTTCCTGTTAAGTTTTTTTTAAATATTTTTTGGACTTTAACCGCTTTGGCATACTTTCAGCTACGTTTGCCATTCAGGTATCAAAATGTTCAGCTCATTCAAGACATTACATCTATGACTTTTGGTTTAATACTTTTTTATGTTATGTTGCATTATTTAAAATTACCTTCAGCATACTTGTTCTGTTTGTGTCTCCATGTGCCTTTATTCATTTCCTTGTGTGTCTTTTAGTATCCTTATGTAAATGGACTGTACTTATCGAGTGTCTTTCTATCTTATCAAGACACTCAGTGCTTTACAGCACAATCTGTCCTCATTTACCCATTCACACAGCACTCTACTAGATCTCTACAAAGAATAATCGGCTTTGTGTCACATTTACACCGATGGGCCACACCTCGGAGGCAATGAGGGGTTCAGTGTCTTGCCCAGGGACACTTCGGTATGTGACCGCAGGTGAAATCGAACCCCCAACTCTTGTATTGGAGGATAACTGCTCTAACCACTCAGCCACAGCCGCCTCATGTGTTCCGTTTGTTTGTTTATTCATTCTTTTGTCTTTATTTCCTGATGCGTCCTTATTATTTCTTAGTCTTATTGTTGTTGTTTGAGGCCTGCCCTCTTAATATCATAGCTTCCATTTTTAGATGGGGAATGGTCAAAAGAGGCTAACGCTGGTGTAACCTTCCCTCCTTTTGGAAAGTAATTGGACAGTCATATCATTTATGTTGCATTATTAGGGCGTTTTATTGCGCAAAAAGATTTACTGGTCGTATTGTGAACATCAGCAAAATACTTTATCACATCTGCCACTATAGTTTTTTGTTTTTTTTTCCTCACAGAACTCATGCTGTCTTCTATCTCCACAGCAACACGGAGCGCCGAGATGAAGAAGAAAGCTCGGCAGCACCGGGTCTCGGTGCAGCAGAGGTCACCATCTCCCATCAAGCCTTCCCCCAACAAGCAGATCCTGACGTATGCCCAGGCGCAGCGCATGGTGGAGTTCGAGCTGGATGGCCACATCCATCGGCTCAGCATCTACGACAAGCTGGACGTTATCTCAGATGACGACCCGTCGGTTCAGGAGATGATGGAGAGCAAAGGCAACAAGGAGAACGCAGAGAAGCCTCAGCAGCAGGTCCGGCAGAGGTCGGTCAGGTTAAAAAACAACCGGGAGAAGAGAAACGCGGCGCTGGGCATCAGCAGTCATGGTCAGGCAGGCGAGCATCACGTCACCAGCCTTGCTGTCCCAAAGCTTCCAGAGCCTAAATTTCGCAATGTTGAATACAACCTGCCAGCAGTTCCAAAGCGCCCAGCTGCCTTTTATAAATTCATCGAAATGACAGAGGAGGAGCTCGACGAGGAGACGGAGTATGACATGGACGAGGAAGACTACGCCTGGTTGGATTTAGTCAACGACAAACGTAGGAGTGAGGGGATGAGTCAGGTGTCTCACAACGTCTTTGAGTTCCTCATCGACCGCTTTGAAAAAGAGTTATATCTGGAGAGTCTGGACCAGGCGAGTGAAAATCAGGCTCCCATCGACGAGAACGCCGTTTGCTGCATCTGTACGAGCAAAGAGTTTCATAAAAGCACCACGATCCTGTTTTGTGACATCTGCAGCGTGGCTGTGCACCAGGAATGTTACGGCGTGCCCTACGCTCCTGAGGGCCAGTGGCTTTGTAGACACTGCCTCCAGTCGCCGACCCGGCTGCCAGACTGCGTCCTTTGTCCTAACAAGGGAGGAGCTGTGAAAAAGACAGACGACGATCGGTGGGGCCACGTAGTGTGCGCCCTCTGGATTCCAGAGGTCGGCTTCTCCAACCCTACCTTCATCGAACCTATCGACGGTGTCAGCCAGATTCCTTCAGCCCGCTGGAAGCTCACCTGCTACATCTGCAAGGAGAAAGGTGTTGGGGCGTGCATCCAGTGCCACAAAGCCAACTGTTACACTGCGTTTCACGTCAGCTGTGCCCAAAAGGTCGGCCTCTTCATGAAGATGGAGCCGATCAACGAGGTGACGGACACAGGAGAATCCACCCTCTCTGTTAAAAAGACAGCCTACTGCGGAGCTCACACACCTAACGGGAGCGTGAGGAGGCCTTTTCCCATCTATGACGACCCCAAGCCAATAAACGGACTTTGTAAGAGAGTGGCTAAAGGAAGAGGAGACGATACAGGACAGCCGAAAGGGAAACGGAAAAAGAAAAGTAAAATCAAAAAGCCTGAACCGGAGGATGAAAGTGAAACTGCAGCTCCTGCTGCCGTTCCTACTATTCCTGCTCACAGGTACAAAGACTAGCTGTGTTATGCTCAGGAGGGTTGTTTGGTAGGGTGGGGATCTTTTGGCACCTCAAATTACTATTTCAAGGCTGCAGTACATTCATAAAACAATGATCCATGCAATCATCAGGCTTTGAATGAACATCTGGAGGAAGCTGTTGATCTAAACACTGAAACAGAAACTAGTTTCTAATTGAAATGGCATTGACTTATTTCACATAAATAATTGTGTAATAAAGAGTGCACAAAAGTATGTTTAAGAAAAACACTACCGTACTTACCGCTGTAAACGTCGCACCACCTATAAGTTGCATCAATCCAAAAATGTGGAGACAAACACGAATAAGTTGCTTCGCTGTGTAAGTCACATCCATTATGCGTCACCGCTGACAACCTGGAAATGTGGGCTGGTGTTGTGCCAAAAATGGATTGGCTGCCAATTGACGGCCCCGGGAGCATGCACAGGAAGACTTTAACAAGATTAACACTTAAAACTATTGTTTGCTTGAAATTATAACAAAAGTGTGTTAAATGTTAACTTTTCCTTAATAAATGCACTTTAATGGTCAAATTCGCTGCATTTCACTTGGGCGGCAAAATGCAGCTGATTTGACGTTTGCTCCAGCGGTTCTGGAGTGAGACGAAGGTGGCTTGGTATGGCAAGACAAGTGTCTCATTAACAGCCACATTTACCTATTAATGAGACACTTGGCTCGCCATATGAGTCGAGGGCCCTCTAGCGGCTGAAAATGTTAGTATGCCATATTTTTCATGTCAGAATGAATGAAATCGTCAGATCTCAGCCAAAAATGGGGTATATAAATATGGAGGAAAAAACACATATTAGTCGCTTCAGCGTATAAGTTGCAGGACTTGCAAATTTATGCAAAAAGATGCGACCTATATGGCAAAAAATATGGGTATTAATCACCACCAGCTAGCCTAGATGCAAACCTTCCATCCATCCATTATTAGGCCCGGGCAGCTATGTCTTTACTTGCTTCTTTCGTTTCGGGTTGCGGGGGTCACTGGTGCCCATGTCCAGCTGTCACTGTATTAGAGGCGGGGGACACCCTGGACAGGTCCAGTCCATCACAGGGACACATCGAGACAAATAACCATTCTCTCTCTCTCTCTCTCTCTCTCTCTCTCTCACCTAGGGACAATTTAGAGTTACCATTCAGCCTAACATGCATGTTTTTGGTCTCTGGGAGGAAACTGGAGTACCCGGAGAAAACCCACTGCCCTAGATGCAAACCTAACATTAAAAATTCAGTCGAGAAGCTAACATGGCTAACGTTTATCACTGGAAGTTTAAACGTTTTGAGCAGCAGCGACGTGTTGTTCTTTCTGTGGCTGTTTAAGGTTGATGCAGTCTCATGTTTAAAAGCAGCTGGTGAAGTCGAAATGTTTTATATACGTTGGTGGTGGTTCCTTTCTTTTTATACTTCTCCTTCATCCCCCTCTAGGTTACAAACCATTCTGAATCAGGTGTCCATTCAGAAAAAGAGAGCGTTTGTGGAGCTGGTCCTAAATTATTGGACGTTAAAAAGGCTATCAAGGAATGGCGTGCCTCTCATCAGACGCCTGCAGACAAGCCTGCAGGCACAGAAGAGCACACTGCCTGTACGTCCATCTGTCACGTCACCATCTTTGTGTGATTAAAATGATAGAATAAATATCCATACAGTCTGATTCCACAAGCTTCATGCTTACCGTTTATTTTTCTTTAAGTTGTGTATGCACACGCTGACGTACTGCCAAGTGTAGGTGCTTTTATGAAGCCGTGTAGTCAAATCGACAACAAAAAGAGTACATGTTCTCCTCAGAGGCAGAAAGAGGAGGGAAGCAGGACTTTAAAGGAGCAGCTGAAGGAGTGGCACCGCCTCCGACACGACCTGGAGAGAGCTCGACTTCTGCTGGAACTGATTCGCAAGAGAGAGAAGCTAAAGAGGGAAGAGGTAGGAGAAGTGGCTGAGCATGCACGACTGTTTTACACCAAACACGAGACACTCGGATCATTTCTTCTTTTTCTCGTCTGTAGATTAAACTGCAGGAGACCATTCTGGAGATGCAGTTGACACCGTTTAGTATTTTGCTACGAGTTCTCCTGGACCAGCTGCAGGCTAAAGACCAGGCCCGGATCTTCACCCAGCCGGTCGATGTCAATGAGGTGATTACAGCAGACGCCGTGGTTTTATTTTATTTGTGCGATTGTTCCGCAAACGGTTTGTTTTTACTCTCTTGATGCTGTGAGCTCATCTAACTTGTGGAAAACTGAAAGTCTTTTGCCAAGTTGTGGATTCTTGTGGAAACGGTGTTTGCTGTTTTGCGTAACTAAATCTCATCCTCATCATGTTCATTGAATTTGTTAACGAGACACGTTTGAGTGTTCGATTACATCTTTTGCATCGACATAATAAAAGCAGAGAATTACGGATGCTGTTAATTTGTTGTTACCCTTCCACTGTTGGTAAAACCCAACTGATGTTCGGTGCATCTGTAACTGTAGTTGTGTCCATTGTTTGAACTTTAATCTGACTTTAAACATGTTTGATGTAAATGTCTTTGAAATGATGATTGATCTTCAGATTGGACTCCCATCGTGTCCCTCTCAAAATATCAGAATATTGTGAAAAAGTTGAAGATTTTTTTGTCTCTCCCTTCAGAAAGTTAAAACTAATAAATTAGTAAAATATTTCAGGCCTTTATTTCTTGTAATTTTTGATGATTGTGGCGAACAGATCATGAAAAACCAAAACTCAGTGTCTTAGAAAATTAGAATCTCGTGATAAAGTTCCATACTGGAAACTCGTGCACAGACGAATCTTGACACATTCCTCAAGTCGAGCCACTCCTGAACCAGAGGTGTTGGAAGCGTCTTACCTGCTGAGGAGACAAATGACTGGACTGAGGTCCAATGTCCTCTTTTCAGATGAAGTAAATTCTGCACATCATTTAAAAGTCATGGTCTCAGAGACTGGATGAAGAGCGGAGAGGTCCAGAGTGAAGTTTCCACAGTCTGTGATGGTCTCAGTCCATGTCCTCTGCTGGTGCTGGTCCACCGTGTTTTCTGAAGTCCACGCAGCATCTAGCAGGACATTTTAGAGACTTCGTGCTTCCTGACGAGCTTTATGGAGATGCTGGTTTCATTTTCCAGCAGGACTCGGCTCCTGCCCACTCTTGACGAAGGAGCCAACAGCTGGCTGTGGAGTTTTCTCATTTTCTGAGACGCCGAGTTTTGGTTTGTCGTAATTTTTTTTAACTATAATCATCAAAATGACCAGAAATAAAGGCTTGAAATATTAAGCTCTCCTACTCGGTGAAAGTCCCGATTCAAAAGGTGCGCCCAACGTGGGGCTCGAACCCACGACCCTGAGATTAAGAGTCTCATGCTCTACCGACTGAGCTAGCCGGGCTTGAAGGGAGGGGCGCCCGTTGCTTTTTTCAGCTCCAGCAGCTGCCGGCGACCGTAAGAGGGGAGTGGTGGTACAGAGGTTAGAGAAGGCAAGCCTGTGATCAGAAGGTCGCTGGTTCAACTCCCCGAACAGATATCAAAATGTGGTTGGAAAGGTGAAGCACCCACACCTGCCTCCACCCTCATTTGCCCCACTCTGTGCCCTTGAGCAAGGCCCTTAACCCCCACCATCTGCTCCCCTGGGCGCCCTAGATGCAGCTCTCTGCTCCACAGGGGGCTGTGGTAGCTCGGTGGTCTGCGGTTGAGTCAGGAAGGACGTCCAGCGTAAAAACATTCACTAAGTCTTGGTGCGGCCCCTGAAGAAGGGAGCAGCTGAAAGAAGAAGAAGAAGAAGAAAGGGTTGAAATATTTCACTCTGTCATGAATCTGTTCTATACGAGTTTCACTTTCTGAAGGGATTGACGCAAAATGTCCAGCTTTTTCACAAAATTCAAATTGTTCTAGATGTATTTGACCTTCTGGAGCAGTGAAATGATCTCACCGCTGAGTATTTCTGTGAATATTATAGTTATTAGTTGTAAACACCGTTTGTAGAACAAGTGTCCACGTGTCTGGACAACACAGCGTTCATTTAAAATGATCAGTTTCACCAAACGAACAAGAACGAGCTTGTAAAGGAGAGCTTCGTTTGTTTAGAGTTGCCCTTGAACACGTGGCGGAGCTGCGCCCTCAGCTGCTCGTTTCTGTCAAACGCAGATATTATGGCTCGGGTTATAAATCGCAGCCACCCGCCTCGTGCACGTGGAGTTGTGCAACGTGGTTCTCCATTAGCAGGAGGGCGTCACCTGAGAACGAGCTCACCGGCAGCTGCTGGAGCTGAAAAAAGCAACGGGCGCCCCTCCCTTCAAGCCCGGCTAGCTCAGTCGGTAGAGCATGAGACTCTTAATCTCAGGGTCGTGGGTTCGAGCCCCACGTTGGGCGCATCTTTTGAATCGGGACTTTTCTACACTATTTATTTTCCTTGTTTTTACCTCATTAGAATGGAGTTTATAAAAGAGGAGTGTGTGGTCTCCACATTTTTAACATCTGGTGTCCCCTGCAGGTGCCGGACTACCTCGACCACATTAAGCACCCGATGGACTTCTCCACCATGCGGCAGCGTGTCGACGCCCAGGGCTACAACAACTTGGACCAGTTTGAGGCCGATTTCAACCTCATCGTTGAGAACTGCATGAAATACAACTTGAAGGACACGTACTTTTACCGTGCCGCCGTTCGCCTCAGGGACCAGGGGGGAGTTCTGCTGAGAAAAGCCCGACGGGACGCAGAGAAAATCGGCTTCGACGCGGAGAGTGGCATGCATCTGCCCCAAGCTCCCGAAATGAAAGCAGCAGCGTCGTTTTCTTGGGAAGACGGTATGAAAGATACAGAGAAAACCATTTCTGCAGTGGGTCGATGTGTGAAAGCTCATTAAGTATATTGTTTATATTTATTATTCCGACAACTTTTATGTGTTCCGTACATTTTCAGCATCCTTCTCGTTCCACAGTGTTTGTGCTTTTTCAACAATTCATGCATCAAAACATTCAGCTCATTCAGGAGAAGGTGCTGTGACTTGGTGTTGGTGCAACTTTAGCTTTTTTGAAATATTTAGCCTTTTCTGCCATTTTTTTCCTAATAGAAAATGAATTGAGCTCATTTTACTTCCTTCAAATCTTTAGATGTGTTCACAACCTTTTGCTGCTCCGTTCACATTTTGTTCTGTTTCAGCTTCTTTCAGCTTCCTGGTCCGAATTAAAAATATAAAATTTCAGCTTAGTTCAGTTGTTTTTTTTTTTTCAGCTGTTTTTTTTCCCTACTTTATTCTGCTAACTACAACATTTTTGTGCTTCTTCTAACTCCTTTCTGCTAATTTCAGCTTATTTATACAAGTTTCAGCTATTTCTGCTAATTCAGCTACAAAAATTTATGCTAATTTTAGCTTTTTCAGATAATTCCACATTTTTTGCACTCATACACTTTATTCAGCAAAACCGCTCTCTTCCCTTGCTTCTGGTAATTTAAGCTTCTTTCTGCCTTTTTAGCTACTATTCAGCTGTTTGGTAAAATTTCTGTTTTTTCAGATAATTTCCACTTTTTTTTGTGCTCATTTCGGCTTCTTTCAGCCTAACTGGGTACAACTGTGCTCTCTCCAATTCTGTTTGCTAGTTTAAGCTTCTTATTTTTTTTAGCTACTTTTCAACTATTTATTGCTAATTTTAGACTTTTTCACTATATTTGTGCTCATTTCTGCTTATGGAAACCTTATTCAGCAAATTCTTCTGCTAACTTTGGCTCGTTCTTCCATTTCAGCTACATTTACCATACCACTTTATTTATAAAGAACTTAAAAACAGCAACAAGGCCAAACAAAGTGCTGCACAGCAGAAACAAACAAGTAAAGTACACAGATGGCATTTGGATCTATGTATTTTATTCGATGTATTCAACATGTTTTTTAGCTAACTTCAGCTGTTTTTCAGCAAGTTCTTCTACAATAAACATTCACACAGTATTTTTGCAGGAAATGCCATTTCTTAAGTTAGCTGTGTTTTTGATAGTTCTGTTCCATCTCGCTGACTTCCTGTTTCATTTCTCCCCTCAGTGGACCGTTTACTCAAACCGGCCAATCGGGAGCATCTTCCTCTGGACAAGCAGCTGCAGCAGCTCCTGGAGAGGTTCGACCTGACCTGTGCCATGAAGTCCAGCCCCTCCCGCAGCAAACGCATCAAGCTGCTCAAAAAGACGATCAACGACGTGCGAAACGAATTAAGCCTTAAGAAACCTCTTCCCTCGACCCGTCACTGTGCCACCTCGACGTCGACACCGGCTTCGTCTTCATCGGATCTCTCTGTGCCAGAGCTGGAAAAACCCAAAGAGGAGAGCCTCAAGCCCAAGAGGCAGTTCCCAGACGATGAAGGTATGTGAGGCTGCAGGATGATTTAAATGTTTGCTGTAAAAACTAGTTTTAGAATCGTAACGGTTGGAACGTGGTTAATTGGCTCATAAACAACATTTATTGGCAGCACGGTGGCCTAGTGGTTAACACTGTTGCCTCACAGTAAGAAGGTCTTGGGTTCAATCTCTGGGTAGGACCTGGGGTCTTTCTGTGTGGGTTTTCTCCGGGTGCTCCAGTTTCCTCCCACAGTCCAACAACGTGCACGTTGGGGAACAAACGTTCGTCTCAGTGAGATGTCTTGCTTTGAAAGCATTTTGAAACATAATTATTATTAAACTTCATTAGTGCATTTACTTCAATTATTGCAAGAAAGCCACAGTGGAATGAATAGTTCACATTTATAATGTTAGAGCAACAACATGTTAGAGTTTTGTTAATGTGGCTTAAAGTGATGGCTCTTTTTTAAGATCTTAAGACTTTAGTTTAAGTTTTGTTCTGACGAGCCATTAACTGGTCAATCTGGTCAGAAATAAACTTTTATTTTTTAAATTAAAGTCATTCAAAGAGCTATCTACAACAGGTAAAATATTGTTTATTATCTTTTCATTTATCCTCACTTTAAGATCTGACGTATGGCTTTAATATATTTACAAGTGCAGTTTTTGAAGTTGCGGCTTGTTTTATCTAAACGAAGGAAGTCGAGGCTGAACCTCGCAGATAACTGCAATGATCACTGTTCAGACTGCAAACAAACGGCATATTTAATCTAAATATGGCATGTTTGTTTCAGTTTGGTTTATTTATGTAGAATTAGTTCACAACAAAAGTTGTCTTAAAGAGCTGTTCAACGAAAATAACAATAAAAATTCGAGTTAATCAAAGTATTTTTATGAACATGATAAAAACGAGCCTGTTTACTGTCGTTCTAATTTTCTGACTTAAATTAAGATTTAAATTTCAGAGTTTCTGACTCGTTTCATTATAATCTTCACTTTTTCATAGATAAGAAATGTGGTGCACGTGCCACAGTTTTTCCTGTAATACATGTTGTTTCTATAAATGTGAAAAGGATTACACGCCCTAAATATCCTGAATGGCAGGTCAGGCAGCGGCTTCATGTCAGTCCCACAAAGCCGACGTTGTGACTCGCTCTTCACAGCGTCTTTGTTATGAAGACGCGTATAAGATTTTAATAAGTGCTATAAAACTAGCCTTTTATGTTGCTACATGAAAATGTAGTTTACACATGCAACAATTTCCTGCAGGATCAATAAAGCTCTGTCTTGTCATCTTATCTTGTTATAAGGCTGTTCTATAACACGTTTCTGTTGGAATGAATCAAAGTGCTGTCGAGCTCCGAGCTATGGAGAGAACACAGACCTGTCATGTTGGACTCAGTGGGTTGTGAAAGTGAGCTAGAAACACAAAGTTGAGGGAAAACAGTTGTTTTATTTATATTCAGGAAAAGGCTTTTAAAGAAAAAACATGAAGCTGTGATAAACCCTGCTTTGATCGATTTGCTGTAAAGGAAAACTTAACTTTAACCTAAAGTTGTTCAAAGATGCGAGAAAGCTTTCAAGTTTGTTCCAAACCACTGAAGTACGTTGTACATTTAGATTTTTACACAGCGTTGACGACAGTCTTAAAGCACCTAACTCCTCTCTCGACTCTGATTCCTCTAGAGGAACAACGATTATCTCCAGTTTTACAGAAAGGTTGGGGGGTGGGGGGGTGTCATAATGTTCTGGGTGATTGGGTCTTGCTTGAATAAAGTTGTTAGCATCTGCTCTGACTAGTTGTTTGTTCCCATGATGTCTGCCTGCGCAGGAGACAAGTCTCTTCCTCCAAAACTGGAGCTGTCAGACGCTCTACCCCCCCTCATCCGCTCAGACTCGGACTCGGAGCCCCCCACCCTCAAACCCATCGACGCCGCCTTGGACTGCGAGACTCTCAGCAAGAGGTTGAAGCTGGACGAGGACATCCCCGAGCTGGTCTCCTCCGCGCCGCGTCTCAACGGCCACGTCCTGCAGAGCGCCTTGTTGGACGGAGACGTGAGCGTGGTGTCCGCCCTCGCTGAGCCTGCGGCCGCCGCCAACCACCGTACCGCCGTCCTCTTCTGCAAATCAAACAGCGCCGAGCCGCACAGGCCCCCCGGGAGCGGAGGCGACGAGGAGTCAGACGGGGCTGACGGGAAACCAGAGGGGGAGGAAGGAGAGGAGGATGAAGACGGCGCTCAGCTGGGCTCCAAATCCATCCTGTCTGTGGTCCTCCCCCGACTCGAGACGCTGCTGCACAGCAAGAAGAGGAGGCGCAGTGACGGCAGAGATGAGGAGGACGGGGGAGAGGCAGAGCATGGGGAGGAGGGAGAGTCTCGTGTGAAACGACTCGACACCGGTGCGTTCCTCTCACCGACACGTTTCTTCGTTTACTTTGGATCGTAGCCGCACGGCAACTGTATCTGACAGCAGCCGCTCTGGTTCTGGATCCAACTTCTAGGCTTTTAAAACTGGTTCTGGCATTTCTCAGGCCTGTCGAGAGGTTTCCTGGACCTGGGGGAGGAGAAGGAACTGGAGCGAACCAGCAGAAGCAGTCGACCTGTGGAACCACGGAGACGCTGCGCCTCCGAGTCCTCCATATCGTCATGTAGCAGTTTACCGGGAAGCACCAGGTAATCCAGACTCTGCAGCCTCTTACGGTTCAGATTAACTGTGGGGACAAGTTTCAGTCGTGGGTTATGTTGTTCTAAGGCAGTGGTTCCCAACCCTGTTCCCTGAGGAACACCATCCTGCATGTTTTAGTTGTTTCCCTGCTCCAACACACGATTCAGGGATTTAATTACCTTATCTCGTTCTGCAGAAGACTCTTAATCACCCGTTTATTAAAATCAGCCGTCTTAGCAGGAAACGACTAAAACATGCAGGATGGTGTTCCTCAAGGAGCAGAGTTGGGAACACTTGTAGTCCTGTTATGCTCTTCTAAAGATTCTTGGCAATCGGTGCTTTTTAGGATAAAGTTGTTCTCTTGTATTTGTTGTACTTTCAGTACAATTCTCAGTCTTCCAAAATGTGGAAAGGGGAAGCCTGCTTTGGTCCGGAGGAACACTGTGGATGATAAGAGCGAGCTCATCGCCTGCATCGAATCTGGAAACTTTGCAAAAGCCGCACGAATCGCTGCAGGTAACACAAATAAAGCACATATTTAGACTGATCTCTAAAGTAAAATAAAATATCAGTGGTGTGAAGATGCATTAAAATGCTGAATTAACATTTTTTATGCACAGCAGCCTGAATAAGCTCCGTTCTCTGTGATGTTTTATAACTTTTAAAAGATTTTTGTCTGTTTTTGTTAATGATGTCTGCAGGTTGTGTCCATTTTTAACTATTTCAAAATATGACCCCAGTTCTGAACATTCCTGCTGATGCAACGTGCACACATCTGTTTTTTTTTATACATGCATAGAACGAGTTGTTGGAAGTTAACAGCAGCTGAAAGACTCGGCCTGCCACGTCAGCATCTGTACACTAAACATTTGTCCCCACAAGTCTTTAACCTAAAGCTTCTGTATAACTTGGCTTTTAAAATCTGTGTCTGTGTGTACGAACGCGCACGTAACTTTTTTGGTGTTCCCGCTTCTGTAGAGGTTGGCAACAGCAATATTTGGATGCCTGCTAGCGCTGCTACAGTTGTGTTGGAACCCCTAAAGCTAGTCTGGGCCAAATGTAGCGGATACCCTTCCTACCCTGCCCTGGTGAGTGTGCAGCACAGACGGCATGCTTGAATGACCTTGACCTTGACCTTTTTTTTTTTTTTTTTTTTTTTTTTTATTAGGATGCACTAAAGCCTGATAAATCTTAGTTTGGAGCAATAATTAATTACTGGTTGCAGTGTTCAGTTTCGCCACCAGATGGCGCCATCCCATTTAAAACTGTCAACACTACTGCGTTCGTAAATGGTTCAAACTGTTGTGAATGCATGGTTGCACGCATGCATATGTAACACCCCATCCCCAAAATCTCTTTCCTGCTCCGAGTAGATCATAGACCCCCACATGCCGCGTGTTGGCTGCCAGCACAACGGGGTGTCCATCCCCACTCCCCCCATGGACGTGCTCCGCATTGGAGAGCAGATGCAGTACAAGACCGGAGAGAAGCTCTTCCTCGTTCTCTTCTTCGACAACAAGCGCAGCTGGTGAGTGCCGCCGCCCGCCCGAGTGATTTAAGCCGACACGAGCTTCTACGAGGGTAAACCTGTCAACGTCTCCGTCAGCGGATCGTTCTTCTCCTGTGCCTGCGTGGCTCCGCTTGTCAGGAGGAAAACAAATGGCTCTCGCCTCGAGAGGCTCCTGGTATTTTCACCTGAGTCCACATTAAATTATTGTCGAAGGATGCCAGACAAGTGTGTTATCAATCCAAGAATCGGGATGAGTAAATATCTTCCAACACGTTGTGAAGAAACTTTGTTTTGCAAAATATTTCAGCTTTTGTTGGTGTGACAGTATCTTCTGTGCTCCACTCAGTTTGGTGTTGATTAAAGTGATTTTCTAATAACAAACTAACTTGATTATGAAAATAAATAAAACGGGGAGTGGTGGCACAGAGGTTTAGAGAAGGCGAGCCTCTGATCGAAAGGCTGCTGGTTTGATCCCCTGGACCGAAAACGTCAAACTACGGGTGGAAAATGTGAAGCATCCACCCTCGTTCGCCCCACCCTGGGCCCTTGAGCAAGGCCCTCAACCCCCACCATCTGCTCCCCCGGATGCCCTAGATCAGGGGTGTCAAACTCGCTTACAAAATGGGGCCAAAATTAAAACCTTTTTTAAAATTAAGGGCCAATTTCAGAAACTACATGAACTCTAATCAGATGCCAACATCTTTTCTTGGTCACAGGTTCCTCAACAAGAGTTTGATTGGTCTCATTTCATGTTCTCTGTTGTGCTGTTGACATCATAATCAAAGATTACTGGAAAAATCCAAGAGATACAAGTATTTTACGTTTCACATATCATCTTGAGGGCCAGATGAGATGTCAGCAAGGGCCACATTTGGCCCCCGGGCCTTGAGTTTGACACAATGCGATGGTAGCCCCCTGCTCCACACAATCAGCAAGTCTTCGTGCAAGTTAGTTCACTGTGGCGACCTCCTGAAGACGGGAGCAGCAGAAAGACGACAAAACCCACCATTAAAATAATTAAAGGGTAGCAGTACAGTAGTCCCTCGCTACTTCACGCTTCATTTATTGCGGATTCGCTCTCAGTTTTTCAAAATAAGATTGGACACGACACACAATTAGTTGATTGATGGATGAGTCGCTAAAATCGGCATGGAATTTTTATTTAAAATGGATTACAGTATTTTAAATTATTTAGCACCTGTTGCATATTTGTGCAGCCCGTACTGCTGCAGGATAAACTTCCTGCTGCAGCTGATCAGCTGTTGAGCAGAGAAGTGGGCGTGGCCAAGAGAGTTTGCTAGGTGGCCAAGAGCAGAGGAGGCAGGGAGCTGAAATCATGACATGCTGTGCACTTTTAGAGCTTTTAGAGTTTAGAAACATTTGGAATATTGCAAGAGTGTGAGAAGGGTTTAAAACACCTTAAAATATATCTATATAAATAATAAAATAAACTACTACAAACTACATGTACTACTATTTCTACTTTGCGGTTTTTCACTTATTGCAGGGCTTCAGGGTACGGATCCCACACGATAAACGAGAGATTACTATACAGCCTGGTGTTTACCAGGTATGTACTACAAACTGGATTCCAAAAAAGTTGGGACACTAAACAAATTGTGAATAAAAACTGAATGCAATGATGTGGAGTTGGCAAATGTCAATATTTTATTCATAATATAACATAGATGACAGATCAAAAGTTTAATTTGAGTAAATGTAACATTTTAAAGGAAAAATATGTTGATTCAAAATTTCAGTGTCAACAAATCCCAAAATAGTTGGGACAAGTAGCAATAAGTGGCTGGAAAAAGGAAATTGAGCATATAACGAATAGCTGGAAGACCAATTAACACTAATTAGGTCAATTGACAACATGATTGGGTATAAAAAGAGCTTCTCAGAGTGTCAGTGTCTCTCAGAAGCCAAGATGGTAAGAGGATCACCAATTCCACCATTGTTGTGCAGAAAGATAGTGCAGCAATACCAGAATGGTGTTACCCAGCGTAAAATAGCAAAGACTTTTAAGTTATCAACCGTGCATAACATCATCAAAAGATTCAGAGAATCTGGAACAATCGCTGTGCGTAAGGGTCAAGGCCGTAAAACTCTACTGGATGCTCGTGATCTCCGGGCCCTTAAACGTCACTGCACCTCAAACAGGAATGCCACTGTCAAGGAAATAACAGAATGGGCTCAGGAATACTTCCAGAAAGCATGGTCAGTGAACACAATCCACCACGCCATCTGCCGTTGCCAGCTGAAACTCTACAGTGCAAAGAGGAAGCCATTTCTAAGCAAGCTCCACAAGCTCAGACGTTTGCACTGGGCCAGGGGACATTTAAAATGGAGTGTGGCAAAATGGAAGACTGTTCTGTGGTCAGATGAGTCAAGATTTGAAGTTCTTTATGGAACACTGGGACGCCATGTCATCCGGACCAGAGAGGACAAGGATAGCCCAAGTTGTTATCAACGCTCCGTTCAGAAGCCTGTATCACTGATGGTATGGGGTTGCATGAGTGCTTGTGGCATGGGCAGCTTGCATGTCTGGAAAGGCACCATTAATGCAGAGAACTATGTTCAGGTTCTAGAACAACATATGCTCCCATCTAGACGTCATCTCTTTCAGGGAAGACCCTGCATTTTTCCACACGATAATGCCAGACCACATTCTGCAGCAATCACATCATGGCTACGTAGGGGAAGGATCCAGGTACTGAAATGTCCAGCCTGCAGTCCAGATCTTTCACCTATAGAGAACATTTGGCGCATCATAAAGAGGAAGGTGCGACAAAGAAGGCCCAAGACGATTGAACAGTTAGAGGCCTGTATTAGACATGAATGGGAGAGCATTCCTATTTCTAAACTTGAGAAACTGGTCTCCTCTGTCCCCAGATGTCTGTTGAGTGTTGTAAGAAGAAGGGGGGATGCCACACAGTGGTAAAAATGGACTTGTACCAACTTTTTTGGGATTTGTTGACGCCATGAAATTTGGAAACAACAGATTTTTCCCTTAAAACGATACATTCTCTCAGTTTAAACTTTTGATCTGTGATCTGCCCACAGCCGTCAGCATCTATAATAACTCATTAATGAAACCAGGATGATGAGTTACCCAACATATAATTTCCCTCTGGGATTATTAAAGTATTTTTGAATTGAATTGATTTGTGTTCTATTCTGAATAAAATATTAGATGTTGGCACCTCCACATCATTGCATTCAGTTTTTATTCACAATTTGTTTAGTGTCCCAACTTTTTTGGAATCCGTTTTCTAGGTACATACCCCATATGTACCAGTTATATACCCCTCAAGTACAGGGTAACAAGTAACTTTATAAAACAACCCTAACCTGTACCTAGAAAGTACCAAGCATGCACGCTGTTGGGAACTGGGTACGTTCCTAGTTATGTACCAGGCTTGTACTTCTTTAGGTACCACATATGTATCCCATTAGGCACCAGATGTGTACCCCATAAGGCTCTAAGAGTGTACACTGTTCAGTACTAGGAATGACCTTGTGAATACCTGGTAAGTACTAGATATGTACTGGACTGTATTATGTATTATTTAAAAAAAACAAAGTAAAAAAAAAAAAAAAAACATAAAAGTAAATCTCAAAACTTCAAATGATTTCTTTCTGCTGAATCACTCGTAGAAGCTAAATGTTTATTTCCGACCTCGTTGACTTGTGTGCTGCATCCGTACATTTACAGTAAACGAATTAAAAGGTTCTGCTGCACAGAGGGTGACTGGGATTGGACTTTTGTTTCTTTTTAAAAAGTGTGACATTGTCCTGGACTGCATATCTGGACAAAACATCCAAACCGTGGTTCTGTTTTACCCCCTCAGGCAGTGGCTTCCTAGATCCAAAATGGTTCCGCTCGGGATGGACAAGACCATCGACAAGATCAAAATGATGGAAGGACGCTCGTCCAGCATCCGCAAGGCCGTCCAGATCGCCTTCAGCCGCGCCATGAACCACCTGAGCATCGTGCAGGACGAGCCAGTCAGCGACCTCAGTGACGTGGACTGACCATGGCTCAGATCTGCACCCCCTCCTTGAACCAAAAAGCCCCCCCCCCCCCATCATCCCTCATCAACTCGGTCTCTGCAGGAGACTGAAATGTTTACCGGGCATCTGCTGTAGCAGGTGCTCTCAGCAATGAATGTCTGTTTCTCTCTCTCCACCTCCAGGCTGGTAGCTGTGCAAAATAAGAGTCCTATTTTTATTTGTTCACTCCACAAACATTTCAAATGAAGAGCGACCGCTTTCACGTCGGCAGCGTCGGCACGACAACGCTTCAATATAAGCTGTAAATGACAAATGTGTTGTTTTGAATTATTGCATATCCATATTTAAGTGAGCTCTTTTTGTACACAAATCGCCTTTTTTTGTATTTAAACTGTAAATGATGTGTACAGCTGCCTGACACTAACTTATATCATGACATACAGGGCCACTGTACAGGGTTTTTTAATATTTATATTCTTTTTGCCTCTACAGCACGAGTGCTGTATGATCAAAAAAATAAAAAGAATAATTTGGGGAGAATAGGTATGAAAACAAAAACAGCTATTTCTCTGTTATTAAGTTATTGAGGTTTATAAAGTAAACTTCCATTTCACACAAATCCTTTTGTAGAAACAAAAAATAGTTTTGGTATATTTTTCGTATATGGTATTTATATGATTTGAATGTTTTTTTTATGTTTGTCGCTGAGGCTCATACTGAAGGAATTGTTCTCAAGAAACCAAAAAATGTTGCTACCCAGAACTTATTTACCGCTTGATTCTCTGGTGCGCGAGAAGATGTTGCCAAAAAAAAACGAAGGTGAAGTGTTTTAAGTGATGCGTTTGTCAGATTACTTCTTTGTGGTCGTAAAACGATGCGCCTGCGTTAACTTATTATAAAAATAATGTATTACTTTATAGTTCAAAGACATTTAAAGTGACTTTGCCCTTATTTTAAGTACATTCTTTTGTAATTTTCTAGCTGTAGACTTGGAGACATTTCATTTTTTTTATGATTCTTCCTTTTATTTTCTGGGTAGTAATCAGTAGTTTTTTGGTATACTTCTTTTTGTACTTTGCAGTAGTGTTATTTTTGAATTGGGGCGTAAAAAATATTGCGGGGGACTGTTTTTGTAGCAAAAATAAAAACATGAATATAAACACGTAATTCTGCTTTATTTTACTAATAGTGGTTTATGTATTTTGGACATGTTTACAGAACTAGCTAAAACGTTGAGCCGGGTGAAGTAAATGTTTGTTTTAAAGTTGCAGGAGTGCACAGCGTCCAGGTGGTCAGCTTTCACCTCCAGGTGCCGGACCCCACATGGACCAGCAGAACATGCAAGTCCTGTATTCTCAGCTTAAAGTATGATGCGTGAGGGTTCTGACCCAGGTCTTGGCTGCACTCTTCTGGATGGAGATCTTTGAGGTTCCTGTTGCTCCACAGTCCCAACTGATCCAGTGACACTGGTACCACCATACTTTGACTTGCTACGTTTTTTTCTTATTTCTTGCCTTTTCTTCTTGATGTTAGTCACTTGCTTACATCTCACCACTTGTTCTGTCCCTTTGGCGCCATGCTCTCATTTTGGTTCCAGCCACTTCCTCCATCTGCTGGTGGGACCTGCCAGTTGGGGGCTTTGCCTCCAGTTTCTTCTCTTCCATACTGGGTCTTTGTTTCATCCAGCCCTTGTACTCATTGGTCCCCTGCCTCTCTCCTCTCTGAACAAACTCAAGGACTTTGGGGTGAAACCCTTCAAGGCTTTGGTTATTTTGGTTTCCGTTGTAACGCAATAAAAGAGTTCTGCTGCGTCGTCACTGAACTTGTTTAATTGGCTTAATTATCAACATTTAACCAGTAAAAGTCAACGTATTTAACATAAACACAAGTGCCTCTGCCTGAAGTTTGAACCCCTCGTAAGTCGATTCAGGAAACAGTTCTGCACTCTTATTGTAAATGTATATATTTTATTTTCACTAACACTAAATTGTCATTTAAATTAAAGGAGCAGTTGACGTCTAAACATGTCTGATGCAAATCCAAAAACATGTAACACCTACATGAACTTAAATAACTGGAAACCTAGACACAAATGTTAGAGTAAAATGAACACTTTTCTAAATTGTAATGATACGTTTAATAAATATTTGAGCTATAGAAGATGCTCAAATCCTTTAAAACAGAAGCTGCCTTTTAGTCTTAGTCCACACGGGGGCGCTGTGACTCCACTGAAAACATCATTGCCAAGACACCCAACAAATTCAGCATACCTGCGTCCACCTGCTCTCCTCAGCCCAAGCCATCTCTCCTCTCATGCACGCATCGAAACTCATCAAATAAGCCGTTTTTAATCAGTGTATTGAGCCGCTGAACGTAAATCGATGCCAAACCAGTTGGAAGACTTTCTCCAAGTCTTGGGAGTCTATGTACAAAGATACACAGCCACTGAACACCTCCAACTTAATATTTCCTCTTTATTCACAAAGAGCGACAGACAACCCGTCCTCTTAAGCCTTTTTATTTGTTTATATGCTCATATTGGGGTGAAGGCTAAACGGAGGGACGGGGGCGAGCTTGAACCCGCTCCGCCGAGCAAACTCTTAACGGGCCGAAGTGAGGCCTGTCTGCGATGCGAACTGGGCAGGCATCTGTTGAAATAATATGCATTTTACTTGAGCCAAGACGGCTTTTGTTATTTGGAGCTCGTGACATTCAGAGAGGTAGGCTGACTTTTACGGGGATTAAATGAGCTGGTAATGGTGTAGAACGCCACCTTGAAGCTACAGTAAAAGACATCTTTACAAACAGTCGCGCGAACGCGCCTTCCTTCCTCTGGATCGTCTGTCTCCAGCTGATACTAATTGTGCGGCGAGGTAAACACGGCAGTCGTGCAGAGGAGGGCGAGTCGAGCGTGAATATCACTCTCCCCAGTGCAGGAGTGTCATCAGATGACTTTGAGCTGAGGTGGGCTCGTTAGGGTGGAGGAGCAACATCCAGGTGGATGGTTCTGATGTAGGGGAAGGTGTTGCGTGGTTTATGAAGGAAGATGTCTCGCGCTGTCCTCAAGAATCCACAAAACTTCCCAGAAGCACAACAGTGATGGCAGGTGGTGGTACTACCATGTGTTGGGGGCGACTCTCAGCTACTACCAATTAGAGCCCACTGGTTGTAGGATTGACAGAGCTGCAGCCAGTTTTGTGTTTTCGAAGGTAGATTAACTGTGGAGGCCATCTTGATTCTGCTTGAAATGAAAAGGCAATCGGTTGGGGACGTTCATCCATTCTGCAGGTTTAATTACTCGTTTTGTGAATTGAGATATTTTGCTAACACTGGCAAATGAACACACAAACAGATGTGTGAAATATTCTTGGTGTTTTAGTGACACTTTAGGATCGGAGACGTTGGGATGGACGTTTGTCGGCAGTTGGCAGACTTAAGAAATAAGTGAATTATTGATTAACGTAAATTACCGTAGTTGTTTTTACAATTTAAAATCCTTTGGACGTTGTGGAAGCAGTCTGTAGGGGTCCAGATAGGTTTCTTGAGCTTTCTTTGGCAGTGAAACAAGATGAGCTTAGGGTGCAAAACCAGTAAAGATGACCAGATGATCGATACAATTCAGGATACCCAGTGGGCGATTTATGAAGCCATCTTTTTCATAGTTTCATTTTCACTGTAAACATGTTTTGTTTAGTTTTCTCGACTCCTCCCTTCTGCAGCGGTTCTCAAATGAAAATAATAAAAATAAGCCCTTTCTGACCCAACCTGACCTCAAACCTGCAGCCTCCAAGTTACTGCAGCTCTTTTTCATTTATAAACATTCATTCCTTCAACCTTTATTTAGACAGGTTAATCCCATTGAGCCTTGAGGACTCATTTACTTTAATATAACATTTAAATATTCATATTCACTAAATGTACCAATTCAGTGAAAAGTTTGATTTGGTGATTTAGCCCTGGTCTTCGGTGTGGGTCAAAGCACACTCTTATCCCAGGTACAGTTTATTTTATTGTTTAAGTAATATTTACAATCTAACCAATGTAATATTTAGAAATATACAAATACAATCACTTAATGTTTCCCTTATAAATATGACCGTTATTTAAACGTTGGTATAAATAATATTCAGGTCTACTGTAATAAAAGTGTCCCTGCTGTAAAACAAAATCTTTTTTTAAGCTCGTTGTGTCAGTTGTTTTGTTTCCGATTGTTTGAATGTTTCTGGGTGTTTGTTTCTGGGTGTTTGAATGTTTCTGGTTGTTTGAATATTTCTGGGTGTTTGAATGTTTCCGGGTGTTTGAATGTTTCTGGGTGTTTGAATGTTTCTGGGTATTTGAATGTTTCCGGGTGTTTGAATATTTCTGGGTATTTGAATGTTTCCGGGTGTTTGAATGTTTCTGGGTGTTTGAATATTTCTGGGTGTTTGTTTCTGGTTGTTTGAATATTTCTGGGTATTTGAATGTTTCCGAGTGTTTGAATATTTCTGGGTATTTGAATGTTTCTGGTCGTTTGAATGTTTCTGGGTGTTTGAATGTTTCTGGTCGTTTGAATGATTCCGGTCGTTTGAATGTTTCTGGGTGTTTGTTTTCAGTTGTTTGAATGTTTCTGGGTGTTTGAATGTTTCTGGGTGTTTGAATGTTTCTGGTCGTTTGAATGTTTCTGGGTGTTTGAATGTTTCCGGGTGTTTGAATGTTTCTGGTCGTTTGAATGTTTCTGGGTGTTTGTTTTCAGTTGTTTGAATGTTTCTGGTCGTTTGAATGTTTCTGGTCGTTTGAATGTTTCTGGTAGTTTGAATGTTTCTGGTCGTTTGAATGTTTCTGGTCGTTTGAATGTTTCTGGGTGTTTGAATGTTTGTGGTTGTTTGAATGTTTCTGGGTATTTGAATGTTTCCGAGTGTTTGAATATTTCTGGGTATTTGAATGTTTCTGGGTATTTGAATGTTTCTGGTCGTTTGAATGTTTCTGGGTGTTTGAATGTTTGTGGTTGTTTGAATGTTTCCAGTTATTTGAATGTTTCTGGGTGTTTGAATGTTTCTGGTCGTTTGAATGTTTCTGGGTGTTTGAATATTTCTGGGTATTTGAATGTTTCCGAGTGTTTGAATATTTCTGGGTATTTGAATGTTTCTGGTCGTTTGAATGTTTCTGGTCGTTTGAATGTTTCTGGGTGTTTGAATGTTTGTGGTTGTTTGAATGTTTCCAGTTATTTGAATGTTTCCAGGTGTTTGTTTGTATGTTTCCGGTCGTTTGAATGTTTCCAGTTATTTGAATGTTTCTGGTTATTTGAATGTTTCCAGTTGTTTGAATGTTTGTGGTTGTTTGAATGTTTCCGGTCGTTTGAATGTTTCCATTTATTTGAATGTTTCTGGTAGTTTGAATGTTTCCAGGTGTTTGAATATTTCCGAGTGTTTAGATGTTTCTGGGTGTTTAAATTGGTTTATGTGTGGCTCATTACTCAAAGGATGTCAACAGCTGACCTCGATCATTCGTCAACTTTTATTTATAGTAATTTTTTAATTACTTAGTTACGTTCTAC